TGGAAGATTTATTAAAAAGTTGAAGGTGGAGGTCCAATAGGTTTGATTTGAGGGTTGCTGGGGTAAATTTTATTTTTTTTTAATTTTTAAAGTTTAAAAACGTTTTTTTAAACTTACTGATTTACAAATTAAAAAATTTTTTAAAAATAATTTAGAAATGCCGTTTTGTATTTCACTATTTACTCAAATACTGTAAAGTGGTCTCTAATCTTCTGCTCAATTAGATAATAGTGTCACAAATGGCTCGAGACTACAGACTGGAAGCCTATTGACATATTTTATTTGACTTGCTACGTCAATTTGTTATAGTTAGACAGTTTTTTGTACAAAGCTTTTTAAATGTCTACAACACTTGAGCATTACTATACGTATATGAGTATACTCAAATTTTTTATAGTATGAAAAAGCACAGTACAATGAATTAATGATATTGTTATATCATAGCCCTAGTCCTAGAAATAGCCTTAGCTTTAGTTGTAGCTCTAGCTATATTTCTATCTCTGGTCCTGACCTTAGCCCAAACTTTAGCTCTAGATATTGCTCTAGTTTTAGATTTAGCCCTAGCTCCGGCTTTAAACTTTAGGGGGGGGAGGGGTGGGGACCCAAAAATATTTTTTGGTCCACTGGTAGCTGCTACCTGTGGACCGATTTTTCGAAAAAATTTTTTTTTGTTTTTTCACGTACAGGTACCCTACCTGTGGATTTTTTTTTCGGACCACCCCCCCCCCTCCCAAACGACGTCCCTGGCCTAACCTACTCTACCTTGTTTTTTTTCATACTTTCCCTTGCTATACCTTACTCTACTCTAGTTTATTTTAATCTTACTGGGCTTATTTTACAGTTGCTCTATTAAAGCTTTAGGTTAGTTTAAATGTTATTCAGCTGAAATTGTACCTACTCTTTACTTCACTGTTCTGGCCTTACTTTAGCGTCATTATACTTATCTTCGTTCTACACTAGACTTATGTTTCGAATAACTTAGCTTTTTTTATTCTACTTTAGTTTATCCCTTTTGTATTTTACTTTAATCACAATGTTAGAAGTAGATGTTATATATGTTATTATATGTTTATATCCACTATCTATATATACATTTATATGTCTATACCTATTCAAATCTCCACTTCAGTTTTCATTTCTGTCTTAACAAAAAACCCTTTCACAATCTTCCTGGACAGTACAAAATGGCGCGTCTTTACATTCGCGAAGACATTAATCGTCGTCGTATGTTGCATTTACTATTACATCCGTGTCGGCTTGATTACACGGCTTCAGGAGGGACACAATGGTCGTGTTTACTGCGTATTAATGATATCAAAACGTTCTTGTCTTTAACTCCTTACTTGGTATTTTAATTTTGTTTGAAAGGCCGCTTTTAAAAAAGGGGGCGGGGCTTATTACTCATTTCGGCCCAAGGGGTTTTGTTACTTTTTTTGAGGAATTTGGAGGTATTGTGAAGAAGATGTTATTTTGATTATTTTTGTTATTTAAATTGGATTTGAGGTGAAAAAGGTTGAGGAAGGTATTTGTGTTTTGGAAGTGACATAGCTTATTTACGTGACATCGTGAAGTGAAATTTTGGTTTTGGTGGACTTTGTGTTAATGTGAATATAGTAGAGGGTAGGGTAAGGTTTGGCAGGCAAAGAAGAAGGTAGGGTATGGTAAGGTAGGATAAAATAAGGTAGGGTAAGATGAGGGAAAGGTGAGAGTAGAGCAAGGCAGTACAGAGCAGGGCAAGGCAAGGCGAAGGCAAGCCAGGGAAAGCATGGCAGGACAAATTAGAAGGTAAAACATTGTAATTTTTACTATTTCTAGTATTTTCTAATTAACATTTTAAATTGTTTTTAACTTCGAAATGCCATTTTTATTCATTACTTAACGTACTTAACTTTGTTCAGAACGAATAAAGTGCTACAACATGTTTTTGTCTATCGTATTCACTTATACTTTGGTGTGATTGTGTTACACCTTTATGACGTTAGCTAACTTTGCTACTAATTGTCAGGCTAGGGCTGGCACTAGAGCTAGAGCTAAAGCTAGGGCTCTGGGCTAGGGTTAGAGGTAGAACTTGAGCTACGGGTTAATGCTAGAGCTAGGGCCATGACTAAAGCTAAGACTAAGGATAGGTCTTTGGCTTGAGCACTATAAAAGTCCTGGCGTCATTTCCCATAGTTTTTAACGATCGAAAACGACAAGACTTTTCTGACGTCAAACTAACCATACCAAGGATAAGATAAATAAAGATAACTTTAAATATAATTAACCCAACCCGCTTCGGGCACTTAATTATTTAGTATTTTGGCTTTGCTTTAAAATAAATTATATTTGCTTGAGTTACAGCAAACATATGCCACACACAACACTGTAGTCATTGATGACACGACCGGTAATGAGGTTGTTGTAGCTTTTTGTTTACTCTGTTAATCTTCTGTTACTTTTATCTGCATTTTAACAACCTTCTTGTATAGTATTTTGGTTGTTATTGTAAACTTGTAGCATCTTGTTTGGGTAATTATTTGGTCGTTCAGTAAATTCTGTGCTCCATCCAAACCAAAGTTTTTGTTGTTAGGGGGCTTAGAATTATTTGAACAACTTAACATTACCAAAATTATGTGAATAACCTAATATTAGGACGGCAGAAAGTCTTGTCGTTTTTCATTATTATGTTCAGTGTCAATTGGCGACAAGACTTTTTTGTTGACTTGGGCAAGGTTTTTTTGGTAGTTTAGGTAAAGGGTGAAGAGAAAGGATTATATTGGGAAAGTTGTTGGTTCTTGTTTATATAATTGTGTTGTTCTATGCTTTTGATATTATAGTAAACTTGACTTATTGTATACAAAAATATGTTGTTTTAGCTAAAGTTTGTTTATATGTTCTATATAGTACATTGAATTTTGTAGTGGGGTAACTAGGCTTGGTTAAGATATGAGTATCACGTGGTATTATATATTAGAGTTTTTCAAGGCTAGAGCTGGCTATTACTGGTCTTTAATTTCGAACGTTTTGTTTTAGAGGAGCTCAGAATTATTTGGACGAGATGATATATCGTAGTTGTATAGTTAAGTTTAGCTAGAATGTGAAACTTCAAAAGTATGTTGTAGAAGGTATAAATTCGAGATTTTTTAAAACTTGAGGACAGTTAGGGGTACTTAAAAAAAAAATTTTTGTTTAAAAAAGATTTTTTTATAGTTTCAGTATACTGTAATGTATAAAAAACTGAAAAATGTCATATATTACAGTAGAGTTGACGCACGATTTTCGTTATAACGTTAACGTTTATTTTTTAAAACATGTGACATTATCATTTTCATGTAAAACAAAATTTGTGCTTTAAGACACGTAAAGGAAATATGAAAATTAGACAGGTCTGCACTTTACCGATGTTTAATCACTAGGTTTTATGATTTTGAGTTTACATATTACTATGAAAGGTTGGAAAGGGTATGGCGGGTAGAATAACATAAGGTAGCGTGAAGTACAGGTAAGGTAGGGAAAGTGAAGGTACAGTAGTTTGGGTAAGGAAGGGCAGGTAGGGTAGGGTAGGGTAGGGTAGGGTAGGGTAGGGTGGGGTAGGGTAGGGTAGGGTAGGGTAAGGTAGGGTAGGGTAGGGTAGGGTAGGGTAGGGTAGGGTAGGGTAGGGTAGGGTAGGGTAGGGTAGGGTAGGGTAGGGTAGGGTAGGGTAGGGTAGGGTAGGGTAGGGTAGGGTAGGGTAGGGTAGGGTAGGGTAGGGTAGGGTAGGGTTGGGTTGGGTAGGGCGTAGGAGGGCGAGGGTGGGATATATAAAAATGTCTCTTAACAACCGTCGCGTTAACTACTGTAACAAGTAGTAAAGCTATTGTAATATATATACATATGGCTTTCAATGTTAATTCACTTCACTTTACAATCATATATGTCTGTGCCATAGCTATAGCTTCTTGTCTGACAATAAGAATACAAGAGCTCAAAGTGACGTATGTCTTTGACTTCTTCTTTCAACACCTTGATGATGATTTATATATGTGTTTTAGTACTATGTTTATTTAGGTGTCTTATGTAATATTAGAACTCACATAAGAGAGCTAGGGCCTAGGACCCTTAATACATAAGAGAGCTGGGTCTAGGAGCAAGTTTTCATTTTTTCCACTTATCGTTACTATTGTCGCTTACATGGTATTATAGGGGTTCTATAACAACATATACAGTAATCCTAAATCTGAGCTCATGTTTGCCTAGAAAGACCACACAGATCACATTTCTTTTAATTTTTTACTATATCCTGCTATTACATCTTGTTTTTCCTTTACTTTACATTGAATATACGACTTATTGTTTCGTTTTACAACGGTTTTTATGACATTTCTAATTTTATGACATTTTTAGCGGATAGTAGGCGTCGTGTTGTATTAAATAGATTAGGGCTTTGATTTGTTTTAAACTTTGTATTAAGACTTCCGCAATTATTGTCTACGTTAATATGTCTTTGAGTTTTTTTTTAAAGTTGGTGTTAAAAGGGCAACAAAAAAAGTTTTGTCGTTTTTTTATCGGGGGGGGTTTAGTGTTATGAAATGACAAAACTTTTTAAGTGTATTAAAGGGTGCTACTTGATATGTTTATTGTAAACTATAGTACGTTTTATATAGAACAGTTTCTACTGTAATACACTGTAATACTTTTTATATATATAATAGTTTTTACCATACTAAACAATAGTACACTCTATGTAGTTAATTTTTACCGTAGTACACAATAGACATATGCTACTGAATATACGCAAAATACGCTGTAGCTTGTTTTTACCGTGTTATTTTCATTTTGCATTTAATTATTTTGAAGCAAACTCGTCTGAATCAATGTGTATTATTATTGGCTTATAGCGCAAACTTATTAATTTCTGTAGATCATAACGTGCTTTGACTGTACCATAAACTACATCACCACCATGGTTACTTCTTCCTTTTCTTATCACTTCTAACCCCTACCGTTTCAGTTGACCATAACCTCACCGACATACGCAAAGTATGTCACTGCACATGGCCGATGGCAAGATACGATGGGCAGTGTTTCTACAAGAATGGGACTCTTTGAATGTTAGTTTGAGTAATGGTTCAGATGTGGCAGCCTCGTCCATGGATATCGGCGTTTTAAGAGATTACTGTAGTCAAAGTCAGGTACAAAGATTTGCTCAGCTACTGACAGAGTTTGCTCATGTTCAGCCACCATCTGAAGAAATGTAAGTTTTATAAGGTTTTATGAATTTTAGGGTTGTTATAAACAAGGTTTTAAATTTTTTTTGGCTGAAAACAGAGGGTGAAAAAAGGAATATTTTTTTGGTTTTGAAGTTTTTTTACCCCGCCCAGTGAAAATCAAATTTTTTTTTCAAATTTTACTTTGCTTTATTACAATAAAGCTTAAAATGACATTTTAATGCTATTTTGATTAAAGTTTTTGCTTGGGCGGGGTAAAAAATAAAATTTTTTTGATTTTTAAGATTTTTCACCCGCCCAGTGAAAATCAAAATTTTTTTTTCAAATTGTTTCCTGCCTAACTATAGTAAGGTTTAAAATGATTTTTAAATGCTTTTTTGATAAAATTTTTTTTTGGCGGGGTAAAAATTTAAAAAATTTTTTTTGGTTTTTTAAATTTTTTATCTTGCCCAGTAACATATATTATAAAAAGAAATATCTACCCCTCCAAGCACTATTTGAGAAATTTTTAGTTTTTAAAAAATTTTAAAAAAAAATTTAAAATTTTTTGAAATTTAAAAAATTTTGAAAATTGAAAATTCTATTTTTAATAATGTTGTTGTACTCCCTGAATTTATAAAAGTAAAATTATTTACAAATAATTTTTCAAGTCCCACCAAAGTTGTTTATTGTTACCAGAGATCCATCTGTGGCAATAAATTATAAAAGCAGAGGCAAAACTAATTGTTTTTTACCATCAAAACGTTCACTCATTTTGTTACTTATTAACATAGTATTTCAAAAAAAACTGTAGTTTTACTATTTTAAAAAAGGTTTCGTTAAAATTTGCTTTGGGCATGGTAAAAATTGAAAAAAGAGCAAAAAATTGGTTTTTAAGTGGGTTTTTAAAAGAATTTACATTGATTTTATAGGGAAAAATGCGACAATACTATTAGGCTTAGCTTTAGCTTTTTCCTTAGCTCTAGGCCTAGTTCCAGCCCTAGCCCTTTACTACTTTAAACTTTTTAAAATTTTTAAATTTTCAGAGAAACTTCTACCTCAAAGCTAATAATAGCCGTTCTATTTGTGACAGTAGGCCTATGTGGCTTACTTGGAAACTTAATCACAGCTTTTGTCATCTACTTAACGCCTTCTCTTCATTCTACAACCAATTACCTCTTGGCCAACTTGGCCATTTCGGATTTTTTACTAATTTGCGTTGGAGTACCTTACGACCTGTACTACTTGATGTTCTCCAGCAACTCGGTCATGTTCGAGGGTTATTGCCAGTTGACTAGTAAGTTTTTAGGGGTTTGGGAAGGGCTTTTTTTAAATTTTTTGAAATTTTTTTAAAACTTGGTAACTTTTAGGTACAACAATAAGCTGGTTCACATTCTCATCAATTTTGACGATAATGGCAATCAGTTTCGAACGATTGATTGGGATCTGTTACCCACTCAACTTGAAGATCTACTTTCATCCCTTATTGACAGTATATCTAATACTGGCTGTGTGGATAGTAGCTTTTTTACCTTCAGTCTTCATAGGCCTTCAGGTAATAATTCCAAATCTTTAAAAAGTTTTTCAAAAAAGGTTAATATAAAGTGACAAAAAAGTTTTGTCGTCGACTTACCTTGATTTTCGTGGGAAAAAACGACAAGACTTTTTAAGCTTACTTTTTGTAGGAAAATTTAATTTTTTTAAAACTTTTTTAAAGTTTTTTAAAAATTTGTTGGTAAAGAATTTAAAATTTTTGAATTTTCAGTTTAAACCAGTGGTATCTGACTTCTGTGGCAACAAACTACAGATAAATGAATTGGTTGGTCAATGTGATTATGTTGGATGGAGTTGGCTTCGCACTGACTATATTTTTGAGGTAACTCTGATTTTCTTATCATATTTTTTAAAGTTAAGCCATTTTTGAAAAAAAAAATGTTGGTTAAGTCCATCTCCTCCTCATCCTAGACTTTGAAAGGATTCAACACGTAATAGTATACATAATAGTTAATACTAACCGCCACAAGATATACGTGATGTTTTAGGAAGAATAGTAAAGCATTTACAATAGGTAACGCAATAATTTTATCACTTATACTTAATATAATAGCCTAAAACAAGTAGCTACATAAGTTAATGTGTTACCACTTATTTGTTACAATAAATTGGGTACTGTATCTTAAGTTACAATAGCTTTCGAGCCATTATGTATTTGACAAATAAATAATGAGATATTAATTTACGACAAATTGTCAATACAGACTTTTCTTTTGTATAAGTAATTATTTAGTAATCGTATGGCAAATGGTATTATTATTACTGTTTAACAATACTTTTTTACATATGATTGATATCTTTATGAATTTTTAATTAAAGGGTACCTACCATATCCTTCCCTACTCTTTCCTGCCTTATTTTACCTTACTGTATCTCATCCTGCGCTATTTACTCTACCTCACGCTCTCCTACGCTAACCTAACCTACCATACCTTGTTCTGTCCTACCTTTATCTGTCGTCTTTTACCTTTAAACTTTAAAAAAATATCAGAAGAAGATTACGTTGGAACTACGTATTCAAGACGTATATCTTTGCAAAAGTAGGACAACGTTAATATTTTAAGACTTTGTAAGTGACAATTTATTTTGAGATTATAGGCAAACGTAAAGATATTAAAATAGATGTCAAAACAGAAAACATTTTTTAATACCTGATAATCTTCATATCGGTAAAACATTTTAATCTATAGGTAAGACTTTGTTGATGTCAGGATCAGACTTTGGTCTTGTCTTTGAACAATCTAAAATAAGGTATAGCTGTTACTGTATGTCTTAGTATTATCATTGTTTTTAGGAGGATTACAATATGCTCTAGGTTTATACATCTTACATTAAGGTCAGATATATATAGCTTACAGCAAAGTCTAGATACGTTGAGATTATTCTACTCTGTATTATCCTACCCAACCCTCATTCTATCTTCGTTCTGTCCTATTTTACCTTAATTTACCCTATCCTGTCCTACCCTACTTTATTCTATCATACCTTATCCTAACTTATCCTATCTTATCCTGTCTTATTTTACCGTGCCAAACAATACTCTACTCTATCTTACCCTACTCTACTCTATCTTAACTTGTCTTACCTTAATCTACTTTACTTTGCTCTACCTTACTCTAGTCTTACAGTACTTCTACTTACCTCACTCAATTCTAGTTTGTAAGTCCTTCTTTATGCAAATTAATATTGCGCAATGTCTGACGCAACTACTCTTCCAATTTTAGAATTTTGTAAAGTCCAAACCTCTTAACTTTCATTTTTGCTCATCAAGCTAAATCTCCCACTAACTATGTGTAATATATTACAAAAGAATAATTATCATCAGCTCAGTAGCCGTGACATAGTTTTACAATATAAACAATATAATATAACCAATGTAAACAATATAATGAGGAAGTGTTTGGAAATATTTACCATCTGATATTGGCGGAGTAATTGCACGTATAGACTAAGTACTATAGGAAGTGGGTATCATACTGTAAAAAGGGAGGGGGGGAGTCTTTACAATTGCGACACAATAGGGGTATTAACATTGATATAGTAGCTAATAGGAATGTGTAGACAAAACAACATAATAAAATTGTAAATAATGGTATATAGTGGGATTTACAATATATAAAGGTAGGATATGTAGGTATAGGGAAGCTTGTAGGTATAGGTACAGATAATACAAGTTTTAGTGGAAATAAAGATGGAAATAGGCATGATATGTTATCATAGTTGTAGCTGAGACACAGTGGCAAACATTTATGTGTATATATTACTTTGCAGCAGACTTTTACTATAGTCAACATACGACAACGCTTCAAAAACCCTATTTTTAGATAAAAAAAGGCAATAAAAAATTTTTTAACTATAGTAAACCTAAAATTCATGTTAGATAGCATTGCCAATACTAAGAACATACTACAACTATACAAAGAAGCCAACTTTAACACATACATACGTTTAAAAATGGCTAAAACACCTTAAAAATCAAGAAAAAACGACAAAATTATAAAAACGTTTGTCAAAATATATTAAACAAGACTTAAAACATCATTTTATTTTAGCTCATGATGGTCCTAACCTTTGTGGTGCCAGTAATGTTCATCTTCATCTGCTACGTAAAGATCCTGAAGACCTTAAACGCGGTAAACACAATGAGTCGAGACATATCAGTTCATAAGGCTTCGATAGCCTCGAGACGAGACAGTGACAGTGCTTTTGGAGGGCAATTGCCTTTTAATGTGAGTTTTTGACATATTCTAGTCAAACTTTGAAAAACGTCATAAATTTTTTAAAATTCATTTTTTTTACAATTTTTAAAACTTTTTTTGTGTTATCTACTCTGATCTACCCGTTCTACTATATTAAACCATCGTACCGGATTTTGCTGTACTCTATTTTACATTACCTTATCTTATTGTAAACCACCCTATTCTTACCTACCTTATCCTATCTTACCATACCTTACTCTGTCTTACCTTATCTTACCCTACAATATCCTACCCTACCTTACCATATTCTACTTTACCCTACTCTGTCTTACCCTATCTTACCCAATTTTAAAATTATTCAAATTATTTTCAGTGCCGAGCCTCAGGCGGCTTCAAATCTCAAAAAGCTCAACGATCAGTGATTCGTATGTTGGCTACAGTAACCGCCCTCTTCTTCCTCTCTTATCTACCCTACCACATCGAGAGGTTGATGGCCCATTACTGGCGAACCGAGTGTACCATGTGTGCCTATCTGTACCCGATAGCTGGTATTCTACAGTACGTGAGTGCGGCCGTGAATCCGCTGATCTACAACCTGATGTCACATCGCTTCCGGAAGGCATTCAAGGACTTTTGTATTCGAAAGTTTGTCAAAACCGAGAGTTTCAAGAAGAGCTCGGTCTGCTCAATGCCATTGAATACTAGATCATGAGAAGTTGTGGACGAGAATGGCGTGGTGAAGCGATTTTCTTTCTGATTTTGTTGAAAGTAGTGTCTGTTTGATTATATATTAACTTCCGAGATAGAGTAGGGTAGTGTAGAGCAGGCTAGGGTAAGATAGGGTCTACCGTCCACTAATCTACCTTGCTCTACCCTTTACAAGCCCTATCCTCTTTTCAAGAGTTTTTTAAAAATTTTATTAAAAAAATCAACATGGAGACACGATCAACTTTAAAAAAAATTTTTTTCAAACCCATTTTTTCTTTGCCGCACCCTCCCTGAACACAGGTTTAAAATAATTGTCATTGAGCAGAAATGTCACAATAATACGATCTATAGTCTTTTTGTAAACAATCATTGTACGGTCTTGCTGCTATCATATTGTACGGGTACATACTCTGGTACTATAATATATTTACAACTGTTATGAATAAATATCACGTTTTACTAAGTAAATGATTGATATATGACTCACAACAAAGTATCCAAGGGTTTCAGGTAACAATTAGCCGGTAGATATAACAATATGGGTAAAAAATTCTGCTATGAAGGTCTCTTCTACCACAACGTACATAACTAGGTATATAATATAACAAGATAGACCTAAAACTCAAAAAAAAGCTGTGCATATATATATCGTATTTTACAATTTACTCGATTACACTACAAAATACTCCATTAGTTACATCAAATCGACGGATCAGAATGCGGGCTTGGTTAGGCCTTCGGACTTTGCCATGTAAACACCGCCGACTGCGCCCATCACAACCAACATCATCACCAGCAACGCCACTACAATAATAATGTCCTTGGGTTTGTTCTTTGGCCCCACTTTCACGTCCTGAAAGAAAGTTATAGTAAGACTATGGTAGAGGTTCGATAGGATTACAGTAGGGTAGAATAGGGTTGGGTGGGGTTAAGGGAAGGTTAGGAGTAGGGTTGGTCGAGATAAAGCAAGGTAAGTTAAGGCAAGGTAGAGTAAAATTCAGTTAAAAACGTTTTTAAAAAACCTTACGTCCGCTGGCACAAAAGCTGGAGCCAGACCAGCACCAGTAGCCGTACTTTGAGCTCCATTCTTCTCCTGAAATCGTTGAAAGCATTTTAAAATGACACTATTAACAAAAAAACTCAAAATATTCAACAAAACTCATAAAACATTATCTAATTTATCAAAAAATCAAAGTTTCAAACTTCTAAACCATGTGCCATTCTTTTTGCATCTATTTTTACAAAGACTTACCTCGTCGTGTTGGCTGAAGGAACGGAGGTCGGTTTCGTCCTCTCTGAAACACAAAATCGGATAAAGAATGACATTTTGTGAAACATTTCATACTTTAATATCAGAAAATGAATTTCTGGTCAAAAAGTTTGAAGAGCAAGAAAAGTGTAGTTTAACCTAACAATTACTTTATATCATTGTACAGACCTTTTCACAAAAAAAAATTGTAAAAAATACACCAACTTTATTGAATTTTTGACCAAAATTTGGAAAAAAACCGATTCTAGAAACTTTTTGACCTCGACTGACAAAAACAATCAATTCTAAATACTTTTTGACCCAAATCAACAAAAAAACCATTCTAAGAACTTTTAGACCATAAAACAACAAAAAACCTCATATTATCTTCACCACCCCCAAACCCCCTCACTCACTTCGGTGGTGTACCTTCAGCTGGAGCTCCATCAGCGGGCGGTGGTGCTCCGCCTGGGAGTGGCGGCGGAGGAGGAGGCGGTGGTGGTGGTGGAGCACCGGCGGCTGGTGCACCCGCTCCAAACTGCGGAACTTCGTATTCACCTCCAGCCGCTCCCCCCTGATCTCCGGCCGCCGGTGGTGGTGGTGGTGGAGGAGGTGGTGGAGGAGGTGGTGGTGGAGCTCCAGGGGGTGGGACACCACCTCCTGCTCCTGAAATTTAAAATGAAGGTTTTGTTGATGGAAGGAGTAGGTTAACAATATAAATCATCATTTAAGCTTACTTGTACAATTAGAAACGTGACATAAATTAACTAATAAGTTGTTCAAAAATTCGGAGCCCTTAGCAAATTTTGAGCGTTAAGAGCACAGAACTTTTTGAACAACCTAATATACCAATATAAAGCACTTAAGCTTAAAAACCTATAACAACATAGGTCATCAACTAAACCTATAATAACATAATTTATGGAAGCTAAAACAATAAAAACCTCGATAAACTTACCAAGTGGCTCGTACTGATCACCCATAGCTATATCAACTTGTTCTTCTTTTAATTTTCCTCTAGCAGAATTAAAAGATCACCAATCGACGGCGATACGAAATTGCAAAATGAAAATTAAAAAATGACCGTTCATTTGGATAAAATTCATTCAAAAAGTTTGTCATTTACAAAACTCTCATACCTTTTTCAACAATGAAACCTCCCTTTTTATCATACTTTTCCTTTCTGATATTATCATTGGTCCACATAAGTATACCTCTCAAGTTTTCATCTATATTAACATTGACACGTACTTAATAAAGCCTAGAACAACATTTTTTACTAACTCAAACCTCAAAACTTTCCAAAAACTATGAATTTTACACTTTATTCGCCTCTAAATCAGAATTGAAGGTAGGTGAACCTCAACTCAATAGTAGTTATAATCTAATGATCCTTGGCTTCGTATCCAGGAGCGTATCCAGAAGACTCGACTCTTTCGTTCTTCTCGGCTTCAATCTCGTCCAGATAAGGTTTCAAGTAGAAGGACTCCTGAAAAGAGATCAAAGCCGGATTGGTTGACAGACAGCATTAGGTTCTTTCATGAAAAGATTCAAAGCCCTGTCACTCTTTTCAAAAAAGTTACACTAAAAAGCAGTTGCCATCTTATATCTACTACGATATACTCAATATCACAGCTTCGTCAAACTCTTCTTCCATCCTTATAATTTTACCTAAAAACCAAACTAAAAACTTGTAAAAACCCATACCTCATCCCATTTGGTCCACTTATCCTTTGGTAGCACCTCGTTGTTCATAGCCAAGTTGTGGCCACGAGTCAATCTGATCTTGCGCTGGTCGTACTCCCAAGGCTCTTTCAAACTCAACCTTCTCAAAGCTTCTTTCACTTCTGGAGCTGGCTCAAACATTTGGTCGTGGTATAGAAGACCATACTGACGACCTCCCCAGCCGTAAGTCCAGCAGAATTTGCGGGCCCAGTTCATCAAACGGCCTAAAGTAATATAAAAATTAATAACATGAAATTTGTAATTTTGAATAAAATATGCTTTACTAAACCTAGAAATGTTGTAAAGTAACTGACGGCATGTTAAAGTTCTGTAAAATTACCAAAATTAAAACAAAACTTCACAAAAAGTTGCGTTTAAGACTAGACATAACTAAAATATCAATTTTAAAATAAATCTAAAATAAATGACATAAAAACCTATATGTAAAAGGTTTTAAATACCTTATTTCATCTATCCCAACCAAAAAAGTACCCAAAAAACGATTTAACAAAAGGTTATCTTAGAAACAAGCTTAAAAACTGCCAAAATTTTGCCAAAATCAAGTTTCAAAGCTCATCTGCCCCAAGATAAACGCTTCTACTTATTCAAAATAACTTCCTTTACATCTTGAATACCTAAAACAAGAATAAAATAACTTACCTTCATAAGCGAATTTGATGCCACGAGCCGCAGCTGCAGCTGGAAGCTTCGACATAATAGAAACTGAAAAATAAACGAAATTAATGCTAAAACTAAGTTAATATTACATATAAAGTAAGAACAATGTTATTACAACGATATAAACAGTAAAAACTACTAATAAACCATCTACAACACTAAAATTTCGAGAAAAAAAATAAAAATTAGACGAATTTTCGGCTCTCGCCCTGATTTGAAAGGATTTTCGCGCCGGGACCAATTGTTTCAGTCGATGTATATTTATAAGTGTGTTTTAATCATGTCAAAGGAGTAATTAGGTATTCGTTTTTGTAAAAATGATCATGTGTACACTTTTTACAATAAAATTTCAAATTATGTTGTTTTATTAGTTAAAAATGTAAATTTAAGGCAGTTTGATGTGAACATGTTTTACATTAACATACCGCCGCAATAATGTAAAATGATATCATAAACTGTTGTCATGGTGTCTTTAATTGTTCGAAATTACAAAAAATGTGCTGAATTTAATTTTCCAACATAAAATACGTCCAAAACACATAAAATATGTTCAATTTACGGTTTTTATTACATTTTTTGCCAAACTATATTGTATTTCTCATTAAAATTCAAAGCAATTTTGGCATATAAGCTATGGTTTTTCTTTGTTTATTATACATAATCGTTTGATTACTGTGTGGAACTATGTTCAAGGGACTCTTCTTGACTATTTTTGTGCTTTTGGCTACCTTGTTTGCTGTTCAAGGTCAAGTTGGACCTGCAAAGGTTGAAACTCCAGGCAAGTTGAACTCTTATAAAGTTTTGAGTTTTAGCCGAAGCCGTAGCTTTAGTTGGAGTCCTCGGCAAGAGGCCTCAACCCTGAGTCTTGAGCCCTGAACCTTGAGCCCTGCGTCGAGCTCTAAGCTCTAAGTCTTGAGCCCTAGCCTTAGTTTTAGCCTGTCTCTAGTCTGGCTTTAGATTGTCTTTAGCCTACCCGTATCTGTATACTTAACCCTAGTCTTAAGCTAAGACAATATTATATAAAATCAGCTAAGTATTTACGATTTTAGCTACCGCTGGTCCCGATGTTCCACCACCAACCAATGGAAAGCTGAGACTCTTGAGAAAGTAACTCAAGGTTTACATACAACAATCAATGGCATATAACTTTAACTTTTAATCTACTATAATGTTTACCTACTACAATATATGAGTTTTAGTTTGTTAGTACTATAACCTTCATTACCATAACATCTATCCTTATATTATCTAACTATATAACTTGTACCATAACACCTATCGTTATACTATTACCACAACATTCATCGTTGTCTATGTAGGTCACAATATAACAATTTCCGTTATACTTTTTCTTTACTAACTTTTTACTATAACATTGACTATGTCACCTTAAATCTAAGTTTATACGCCGTTAAATTGATTATTTGTATCCAAAAATAAATTTTCATTCCAAATTCGACGCAGTAAATTTGGCGAATTGGTCACTTATTCGAACTGATCATCAAACCAGTACTATAATATCCATCTCAATCGGGTTGCTTTTTATCTCTGGCGTTTGTTGAGGAACGTTTTTTTCTCTGACTTTAGATGTCTTGGTGATGGTATCTTTCTCTAACTTTAGGCATGTCTTGGTAATAGTATCCGGGTAGATGATAGAGTAGGGTATGGTAGTGTAGGCCAAAGGGTATATTAGTTCCTGAGGTAGAGTAGGGTAGGGTAGAGCAGGTCAGGGGGTAGGGTAGGACAGGATAGGGTAGACCATCAAGTATAGAGGGTAAGGGTAGATTATACCACGAGGTACAGTAGGGTAAGGTAGAGTAGGTCAGAGAGTAGAGTAGAGTAAGACAGGACAGGGTGTAGCTTAGAGTAAGGTCGAGTAGTCTAGGGGATAGAGTAGAGTAGGGTAGAGTAGGCCAATGAGTAGAGTAGAGTAGGGTAGACATTTACAACTTTACTTTGACATAGCCATACTTTATCTTTAACCTGCCTTTACCTTGCCTATCTCTGAGCTTTCTCTTCTCTTGTCTTTACCTTACCCTACTCTAATTCCTTATCCTACTACTAACCTACCTTATCCAATGCTATCTCTACTCTCTACTCCTTCTCTACCCTTTCTTACTATACCTCAATCCTACTTCTACTTTCTTCTCTCTTCTGTCTACTCTTTTCTTTTGATATTCTTCTTATCCCTCTCAGCTTTTCTATCTGCTTCCTTTCTCTACTATATGACATGCATCTAACTCAATATATCCTCTATAACATCCTGAACCACTAACTCAAGTCTGCGCACGTAATGATAGTTGATCTCACAAGCACAGCAAAGACCAAATCCACGAGATTTCGCACGCCTTATTCACCGAACAGTGCGAAAAAAACTCGTCGGGTAATTAGTTGTTAACCCAGTTCAGCGACAAGTATAAATAAACAACATTCGATGGTTCGGAAAGCGAAAGCCGAGTAATGGTCACTTTTGGGCGACATCACTCGAAATGGTTTTTCTTTCGGTTTACAATCGTTTTTTAGTTTGAACTATAGCTTACTGTAGATTTTTCTTTGGGTTGAAATTGTAGATGTAGACAGAGTAAAAGTAAGGTACTATTAGTAGCCGTACGCTAGTCAGGAATACGGTAAAGCTAAGTAAATGCTAGTGTAGGCTTGAAAAACTTGTATCATTAAGCGGGGCTAACAGTAAGATAGTTTACAGTATTGTAAAGCAGTGTAAAACAATAATACGCTAAGGCTAGGATTTGTCTCAAAGCTAAAGCCTGGCTTAAATTAAGATTAGTTTAGTCTTAGCCTCATCTATAAATTGACCCCAAGCTGAAGCGTGAGCTTGAACTTGAACGTGTGCCAAAGCTTAAACCCGCGACTGAGCTTGAGCCTGAGCTTGAGCCTGAGCTTGAGCCTGAGCTTGAACCTGAGCTTGAGCCTTAACTTTAGCCTTAGCCTGAGCTTGAGCGGTCGTTTAAATAATGATGTGCCTTTCTCAAAAAACATTGTCAGAGTCAGGAGGCACAGAATTATATGAACAACCTAATACTTGGCTTTGTTGTCGCAGCACTATTTAAAATTAATACCTAAAATACTATTTTTCTAATTTTCAGTACAGTATGACCCGCCTTTCCCTAACCCTCTTCATCGTCCTCCTCCTCGCCGTTACCGTATCAGCTCAATACGGTTTCTACGGTGGTTACCCAATGTACGGTGGCTATGGATACCCGGGAATGGGAATGTACGGAGGTTACCCTGGTATGTATGGAGGATTCGGCAGACGATTCGGATATGGTGGATACCCAGGAATGTACGGAGGCTACGGCTACGGCTATAGACGTTTTGGATTCTATGGATAGGAAGTTGAATAAGAGATGGAAGAGAAGAGTTTATGTTGTAAATAATGACAAATGTACAACAACTTAATTTATTTTATGTAAATAAACAGCATTTTTTAAAAACTTAAGCTTTTTATAGTATGCACATGCTTGGTCCGATCCCCTATCTACCCATGGCAAACTTAAATGTAAAATTAAATTCAACTTTATTAAACCAAAATTTGAAAAAAACATTTTCAAAGCTGACTAGCCGATAGCTCATCTATGATCTCTTCAAATCGATGTCTCACATGTCGTGGCGTATCGACAGTGACCCCTCTTGTGTTGGGCTTAATACTGCTGAGTCGAACGTAGTACGAAGTGATTTCTTGATTCTTTTTTTCGTCGATTTCTGTTCTGAACAACTTTGTAACCATACGGCCTGTAATGAAGATGACCTTTGGTGTTTAACTTTATATTCTTTTTACTATTATATTATACGTATCATCTTCATATTCTTCTTATATTTTATATAGTTCATTTCTATCTTAGAGGCACATAGTTATTTGAACAACCAAAAAAACGTCCTTACCTGTAGACCAGTCCACCATCATAAAGTCCAACTTAATGTTAGGAAAACGCCCGTGCGCTTTGTAAAATATATAATGGGAAAAGGGCCAAATGAACAATCTGGGCAGGGCAGAAACCAATAATCAAAAAAGCCAATGTTTTCATATTGCTTTTTGTTTGGATTGTATCCGAAAAACTGAAAAAAAAACGGTATATATTAAGGTATCGAAGTTGGAAAGGCCACCATGAGTAGATAGGATAGAGTGGGGTAGGGTAGGGTAAGGCATAGCAAGGCTTAGATAAGGTATGGTAAAGTAGGGTAAAGTAGGGTAAGGTTGAGTATTTTAAAAACTTACGTTAACATGTTGATCGCTGTTCTGGAACTCTAGACCGTCAATTCCACAATTCGACGCAAAACTTGTTTTTCGGGCAGGCACATCCAAAATACAACGTTTCAAGTTGATGTCATAAACAAGAACTTTGAAGAAATCTGAATTTAAAAATTTTCAAAAATAAAAAATTTAAACTTTCAAGTTTCACATCAGATAGATGAAGAAAATTAAAGCAAAAACACACCATGAGTACAACAACAAACGTTTTACCATACGTCGTAACTTACTTGTGTTTCTGACAAGACCCAACTCATCCATAATGCAAATTTCTCTGTCACCATATTCAAATTTTTCAGCCATCACACCAAATTGATCGAAATACACAACATCAACTGGAAACATGCCCTGCGGTCTTCCAGTATCAGTGTGTATTAGTATAAAGTGTCCATGTACACTGACAAAACCAACGTATTTCCGATAGCCAAACGCATCTACATTGTAAATTTTTGGCATTTCTGGCACTTTTATTGGAAAAACTGGGTATTCTCGTTGATTGTACACGTCTACAAGTAGACCATTACCGTAGTACAGTGTAAAAGTACTGTAGCGTTCTTCCGGTCGAGCAGAGTAGACTTTCACTACCCTTTTCTTGACCAAGTCGTACACAACATACGTGTTCTTCATGTCCACTATCAGTTTGGTTGACTTGTTTATGAGCTGCACATTCAGTAAGTATCCCTTATGACCTCTGAAGTTCAAAAGCTCAAAAACTTTCTTTCCAAAGTCGAGGTTGGTCAACATGACTTGTTTGTATTTCAACACTACTGCCATTGTACCAGTATGAGGGCAGAAAAATGAGTTTTTCGAGAGTTTAGCTTCATCTTTACGCCATATGATACGACTCATTTTGCGGTATTGTGCACTGAAATACTACAGTATGAAACCTGCACTGAAATATGGATTGACTTTGGTATGAGACAAAGTATTTAGTTATCTATGATAGTGTTCACTGTACAGTACTTACTTTGAGAACGCTGTAGCCCACGTTTCGTCTTTCAATCGAAAAATCAAATTCCTGTAGCACAAGCTTTGAAAGTCCATGTTGATGAGTTTGTAAAAGTATTTGTTGGTCTGGGCGAGAGTACAAACATCTTCTTGAGCCAAGTAGTCTGCTATACGTGGCCAGAACTAAAAGATAACAAATTATTTTTAAAAAACTAAGAAAAACTAGTTTTTGATTGATTTTAAGATTAAAAATATAAACTGAGCCTTCTTGAAGTTTGTAATAAGTTAAACTTGCTTTGACAATTTAAAAGTAAGGTTTATATAACTAAATTACTATAGTAAAAGAGTACTTACACCAGGATACATCTTGTATGAAAACTTCATTTTTAAAACAACAAAGTTAATATAAGAAGTCGTTTTGTCTAAGCAAACCTTGAAGAACAACTCAATAACTCTAAATCCTCGCTATCTAAACTGATGCCAAACCCTACTTTATCTTGTGCCAAAGACAAACTCTAAACTTATGTTAACTTCTACCTAAACTGATGCCGAAGACAACCCTAAACTTATGTTAACCTCTACCTAAACCGATGCCAAAGACTACCTCAGCGTATGTTGAACACTCTCTAAATTTACGCCTAATGATCTTATAATTGCTTTGCCATTTTTATTGTTATGTAATGACAGCTTAAATACATCTCACCTAGCTTCATTTATCTTCGGGCTTTTGAGGTCTGCGGGGTTACTGGAGGCGTAATTTCCTTATAGTTACCATTTAATCGACAAGTAGAATGATGTTATTGATATTATATTTGTCCAACATTGTTTGATCCCTCCCTGCTCTTCTTACAAGCTGAATTTAAAAATAGTTTTACATTGAATCCAGTGGTCTATCTGTTAGGAAACTATGTCATAAAATTTATTTTTAAAAATTTATTCTTGTTTTCTACTCTATTTGTTCAATACTGCTTGACCCTTTTCTTGATCTTTTTACTGGTCGATGAGTATCTAGTACCAGTTTTTTTCTTAAGCATATTTCTTTGATATACTAGTAGAAAACCTTTAAATAAGCAAGTTATAAACGTAGCGTGTTTGAAAAAAGTGCTTGAAACACAATGCCAAATTGGCGGGAATTTCAAATATTTAAATTTTAAACTCAAAAGCGCGGGCTAAAATTTTTTATCAATACTATTGGTGGTACAGAAGACTCCTATAAAAATCTTGAATTGATTCTGAGCGAGGCAAGTTGGGTACTTTCTCTGTAAGTAGATGGGAAACGGGCGGGGCCTGAGCAAATTTTTATATTGGCCTAAAACGTGAGCCCGGCCCTACCCGTTCTCCATGTCTACTTTTAAAAAGCATCCCATACATGGAGAACGAGATAGGCCCAGCCCGGCTTGAGCAAATAAAAAACGGACCGGGTTTGAAAGGTAACTATGTATGTACATGCCCGGTCCGATCCCCTATCTACCCATGACAAGCCTAAATATAAAACTAAATTCAACTTTATTAAACCAAAATTTGAAAAAAACATTTTCAAAGCTGACTAGCCGATAGCTCATCTATGATCTCTTCAAATCGATGTCTCACATGTCGTGGCGTATCAACAGTGACCCCTCTTGTGTTGGGCTTAATACTGCTGAGTCGAACGTAGTACGAAGTGATTTCTTGATTCTTTTTTTCGTCGATTTCTGTTCTGAACAACTTTGTAACCATACGGCCTGTAATGAAGATGACCTTTGGTGTTTAACTTTATATTTTTTTTACTATTATATTATACGTATCATCTTCATATTCTTCCTATATTTATATAGTTTATCTTCTTATTCTTCTTATATTGTATATATTTCATCTATATTGTTTTATTCTTCCATATATTAGGTTGGCAAGAAAAGAATGTCGGATTTTGATGCCAGCGTAGTCGCCTGGAGCAAAAACGGAACAAAGGGTTGCCCCTGAGCTTTATATCATTAGAAACCAAAGGTTTTAGGCTATCATTGAATCTGTTGTCGTCTTTTTTTGTTTTGTACTTTTTTCCCTTTAGGGTTTTTAAAGACGTTAAAAAAGATCAAGTTACGCGCCATTTTTTACACGAGGTCAAAGTTGGCCACTATGCAACTGCGGCAAACCGAAACATTCACGTGACTCTTGGCACTGCTTCAGCTAAGAAATGCACCAAAAAACGTTAATTTCAGCGTTTTAAAACTGGTGGCTTTACCCCAGGGTTGGACGCAGGGTAGGACATTTCAACAAGGCATTTTTTGAATTTCGTATTCCCGCCAAACACATATCTTAAAAACTGTAATAGTTATCAAGAAAATAACAACGTAAAATGGATTAAAAGTGTTTAAAACCCATTTCTAGAAATTTTTGCGTTTTTAGGCCTAGCCATAAAAATTTAAAAAAAGCGCGCCAAAACATAATTCAAAAATGCCCTGTTACCGGGCCCTGCCCTGCGTCCAACCCTGCTTTACCCTCGAGAAACATGTGACCACTTGAACTTGACGATGAAATCCCGAAGTCAGCGGTGTAAGAAAAAACTTAAAAATTACACAAAAAAATGCCAGACTTTGTAGTTAGCTATAATGTTGTGCAGAATCATCTGCATCATCAAGATTAAAAAAACCCTGCCCTACCATACCCTAACCATTTGGTAAAACTCGACATTCTTTACTTGCCAACCTAATTTGATTACTTTCTAAATCCAACCTGATATTATAGTAGGTTGTTCAAATAATATTGTGCCCCCTTTCAAAGCAAGTATTTTAGAGGTTAGGAGCACAGAATTATTTGAACAATCTAATTTTATTAGTTTTAATGACAAGACGTGACTTCAATAAAACAAATTGTAAAATCCTCTTACCTGTAGACCAGTCCACCATCATGAACTCCTTCTTATCGCGATCACCGTTTGTTTTGTAAAATATATTAATCATGGGGAAAAAGAGAAATTTTTTCACAATCTGGGCAAGGCAGAAACCAATAATCGAGAAAGCCGATGTTTTCATATTGCTTTTTGTTTGGATTGTACCCGAAAAACTGAAAAAAAGGTATATATTAAGGTATCGAAATTGGAAAGACGAACATGAGTAGATAGGATAGAGTGGGGGTAGGGTAGGGTAAGATAAGGTATTTTAAAAACTTACGTTACCATGTCCATCTTTGTTTGTGAAGTGTAGACCGTCAACTCCACAATTCGTCGCAAAACTTGTTTTTCGTGCAGGCACATCCAAAATACAACGTTCCGTGTTGATTTCATAGACAAGAACTTTGAAGAAATCTGAATATAAAAATTTTCAAAAATAAAAAATTTAAACTTTCAAGTTTCATTGCAGCACATACAGCAAAAACCTCTGTATAACAAATCGCTAGGAGGTTCAAAATTTGTTCGTTATGAAGAGGTTTCGCTATACAGGAGTTTTAAATGCACTGTGTAGTGGTAGATAGGGATTGAAAAGTTGTTTGTTATGCAGGTTGCGTTATATAGAGGGGCTACTGTATTTAAGTTTTGAGACAATTTGGCAAATTTGGAATTGTGTTACACGCACTGTTTTGAATATCGTAACTTACTTGTGTTTCTGACAAAACCCAAGTCATCCATAATGCAAATTTCCCTGCGTTCAAATTCAAATTTTTCAGCCATTACACCACATTGATCGAAATACACAACGTCAACTGAAAACATAAACTGCATTCTTCCAGTATCAGTGTGTATAAGTATAAAGTGTCCGTGCACATTGACAAAACCAACGTATTTCCGATAGCCAAACGCATCTACATTGTAAATTTTTGGCATTTTTGGCACTTTTATTGGAAAAACTGGGTATTCTCGTTGATTGTACACGTCTACAAGTACACCATTACCGTAGTACAGTGTAAAAGTACTGTAGCGTTCTTCCGGTCGAGCAGAGTAGACTTTCACTACCCTTTTCTTGACCAAGTCGTACACAACATACGTGTTCTTCATGTCCACTATCAGTTTGGTTGACTTGTTTATGAGCTGCACATTCAGTAAGTATCCCTTATGACCTCTGAAGTTCAAAAGCTCAAAAACTTTCTTTCCAAAGTCGAGGTTGGTCAACATGACTTGTTTGTATTTCAACACTACTGCCATTGTACCAGTATGAGGGCAGAAAAATGAGTTTTTCGAGAGTTTAGCTTCATCTTTACGCCATATGATACGACTCATTTTGCGGTATTGTGCACTGAAATACTATAGTATGAAACCTGCACTTAAGTATGAATTTTGTTATGAAACAAAGTTGATATCTATGATAGTTTTCACTGTATGCTGTAATAGTGTTCACTGTACAGTACTTACTTTGAGAACGCTGTAGACCACGTTTCGTCTTTCAATCGAAAAATCAAATTCCTGTAACACAAGCTTTGAAAGTCCATGTTGATGAGTTTGTAAAAGTATTTGTTGGTCTGGGCGAGAGTACAGACGTCCTCCTGTGCCAAGTAGTCTACTATACGTGGCCAGAACTAAAAGATAACAAATTATTTTTAAAAAACTAGTTTTTGATTGATTTTAAAATTAAAAATATAAACTGAGCGTTCTTGAAGTTTTTAATAGTTTAAATGCTTTGACAATTTAAAAAGTAAGGTTTATATAACTAAATTACTATAGTAAAAGAGTACTTACACCAGGATACATTTTGTATGAAAACTTCATTTTTAAAACAACAAAGTTAATATAAGAAGTCGTTTTGTTCAAGCAAACCTTGAAGAACAACTCAATACTCTAAATCCTCGCTAACTAAACTGACGCCAAACCCTACTTTATCTTATGCCAAAGACAAACTCTAAACTTATGTTAACCTCTACCTAAACTGATGCCAAAGACTACCTCAGCGTTAAACACTCTCTAAATTTACGTCTAATGATCTTATAATTGCTTTTCCATTTTTATTTTTATGTAATGACAGCTTAAATTCATCCCACCTAGGTTCATTTATCGTCGGGCTTTTGAATTCCGCGAGGTTACCGAAGGTAAGAAGATTAAAACAAGGTACGCGATAAAGTGGAACATTGAACGGACTGGGGCGGCACACGGAAAAAAAAATATTTTTAAAGCTTTTTGTTTTCTGACCAATGATAGTACTCATCAAGTAAAATCGAAAAATATTTTCAAAAATATTTTTTTGGGTTACTGTAGGAGTACTGTAGATTTTACTTAAATTTTGTAACTTGTTTGTCTGTTAACCGACTTGGATGAAACTTTTTTTGTTTAAAGGTCCAGTTCGCCCATTCAAATATCATTGGCATTCTGTCGCAAAAAGCGTCGAAAATCAGGCAATTTCAATCAAAATCATCTTTCTCAAAAAACGTGAGTGGGTCGGTGTCGAAATGAATTTTCCAGTTTGGGACCGACCTGCTCAGGTTTTTTGCGAAAAAATGAACGTCGAATTTTTGCGACAGAATGCCAATGATATTTGAATGGGCGAACTGGTCCTTTAATAGAGGGCTTCACGATAAGAATTTGTGCTCTTGACAACATTTTTCCATTATGCCTGGAAGGCATTTAAAAATTAAAAAAAAACTTTAAAAAATAGTAAGAATTTTACAGTATGCCATTTTTCTCAAAATAAAAGCAGTTTGTGAAGACGCTCAACATAAATTATTAAAATAGAGGTATAAACCATTAAAATAAGTGTAGTCACGTTTCCTGAAATTGGGGAAAGCCTGAGTTATGAGGCCGTGAACCTAAGGCAGTTACTCATTTTGACTAATCATAATATTATAATTTGGCTCAAAATGTTTGTAAATGGATCAATTTTTTTTACATCTTTACTTTGACTTTATTTATTGATTTTAATTAACGTTTATTAATAAAAAAAATTTTTTTTTGTTTTTGTATGTTTTAGACCCAAATAGGACGTCAAATTTCAAAACTTTTTTTTTAAAAAATCCAAAATTTATAAAAGAATATAAAGGTTTTGCACCATGCTGAGTTCAAAAATAAAATTTTTTTCTTTCACCTACTGTATACTAGAGTACTGTATGAGTCCGGTAGGCTCAATATCCCTATAACAAAGAGTCGTGGAGAAATGGGATCTTTATTACTATGTGGTACGGACAAGATATAGTATAATATTCAAAAATAAAATTGAATAGTACGCGTAGGGATTTTTTTATTATAGCTCGATTACTGTACTCATTACTCAAGAAAAGAAATTTTACTACGGTAAAAATATATATATAACTATTTCTTCAACATAAGTACTTGTAGCCGTAAACTTTTGAAAAAATCCAAAAATTTTAAGGATTAATAGACTAATTTCAAGTCCCGGCTATTCACAAAAATGTCTAAGGATTTTTCCGCACACATTTTCGTGAAGCGAGGGCTTTTTAAAACTGAAAATGGGGTTTTCCTTCACTTTTCCTCTAGTTTTCTGCCTTCAAGGAACGTTTTTTTTTATTAAAAAGGTTATTTTTTATTCAAAAAACCAAAAATTTCAAAAAAAACTTTAAATTTTGATTTTTTAAAGTATTTAATTAGAATTTTGTTAGCTAAAACACTCGACCTATAATCAAAAAAAGGGAAATACTTTTCCCAAAACCAAAAAAGGTTGTTGTCAATGAAATAGAAGTCCAGAATTAATTTAAAAATCTTTTAAACAGCTCTTTTAAAACAATAAGCTTCTTGTAAGTCAATTTAAGCTAGTTCCAATCGAAAAATAATTAATAAATCAATCTTACCCATTAAGAATCCGTTTCTTAAGCTGAGCATAAACCTCTTGACTATTAAAGATAGGCTGCTTATCTAATAACACCCTCGTTCCCATAGGCTGCCTCTGAATCATTCCTTTTCGTCGTTGGAACTCCATTGGTGAAGAACTTCTCTTTCTCGCACAACTAAGCGTTTTCCCAGCAGGTGTTGATGACAAACATTGTTCATTGTACTTTCTGGAGCATTCTGGCCCAGAATAATTGCTTCTACGCAATATACCTTCCACCGGTAATGGTGGAATGAAATCAACATTCTGAAAAAGAACGTAAGAGCATCCTTCAAAAGAGCTTAAAATCTTCAAAAAACTCATTTTAACTTCAAGATCTTCAGATCAAAAGCAATAAAACAAAAAAAAACTATGAAAAAACGACATTAATATGATTTTAAATTATTCTTCCGAAAAAATTATTTTCTACACATCAACAAATAAATGGTTTAAAAAAGAAAACAAAAATTTGGCATTTTGAATCATTTAGAAATTTTTCCAAAAAGTCAAGAAAAAGAGGTCGGATCGGCTAGGGGTGAGAAATGGGCCGTCTAGGCCCGGCCCTACGATCGGGCCGGGCTTGAAATTGGGCCCGGGCCCAAAAAAAACCTTTTATTTTTTTTAAAATTTTTTAATTCAATCCCCGTTGACGTTTTTTGATTCTATTGGGTACAATGAGCCATAAATGATCCGAAAAAACAATTTAAAGCGAAATTTCCGTTTACTTTTTAAATTTAAAAATTTTTAATACGGCGACGGGCTTTTTTAGGGCCGGACCTAAGTTTAGCTCAAGAACGGCCTGTTTCTCCACTACTATGTACACGAGCGTCAAGCTTTAAAAAATATTTAGCCATAAAGTAACCTATAATATCAATTTTTTTCAGCTACAAGGAACAGCTACAACGGATTGTTCTGACGGAGAAGCATATCATGGAGCAAAAACAAATATCATGTCCAGTGGGTTGTGGCAAGGAGTATCGGACGCTTCCTAACATGTATACACATCTGAACAAGATACATAAAATGCATGACGACGAAATAAGAAGGTAAGTGGAGACATTAGTGTATTAATATTTTTAATTATTTAGTGTTGCGTATCCGCTGCTCCCAGACGACCCACTCGCCCGTGCTCATGTTGAGAACACAATGGATAACAATTCGAGAAACGAAGCCAGTCAGCTCAAAGAACCCTCGTCTAATGACAACAATGAGTACATCAAAGGCTTCCTCGACGGGTTTGTTGCGGGCAATCTAGTACATAATCGTAAATAATTAAGTTCTGGATAAAATTTACTTTAGTGTGATATTTTGGTTTTTTAAAAATATATTATAGTTTCCCTAACCAATAAATTTTAACAGATGTTACTATTTTTCTCCAATTTCAAGCTTGAAAACACGAACTTTAGCGGAATCATTCTACCCTAACCTTATTCTACACTCGCCACAAATGGAATGAAGTTATTCTCCGCCACCAATGCAATGAAATTATTCTCCTTTATACCCCCATACGAAGTATTATTATTAACAGTTATTTGTATTCTTATGTATTAGTTTTTAAATGTATTTTAAGCCTTTTGTTAATAAATTTTAAGGCATCTTTGATCTATTTTAAAGTGTTTTTAGACGTTTTAAACTACGTTCAAGCCAAATAAAGCCAGCTTTAGTTGAAAAAATAGCTAATAAACTGAAGTTACCCATTAACAATTCGTTTCTTAGGCTGAGCATAAACCTCTTTTACGCAATATACGTTCCACCGGTGATGGTGGAGTGAAATCGACATTCTCCTCACTTGAAGACGGTGAATCGAAGAGATGTGAATCGACAGAAGAGGTTGAGTTTGACAAAGCTCCACAATATTCTCGACTGTACAGCTTTAGTTTCTGTACGAACTCGCAGGCATATACCCAATGGCTTCTGGTAAATCTAATCATGTCCATTTGGCGACCAATTTCCACCAAATCACGATCCAACTTCTCCATATACTTGCGGTAGATGGAGACAGTAGCTTGATGTTCCGTTGAATATTGTACGCAGTAGTACATTGACTTTAGAGCATTGGAAAGAATGTCTTTAGATTGAGTGACTTGAATTAATGGAGCGATTACTTCATTTATGCGTCGAAGAGCTCGAGAAGAAAAGTTGTGAACGTATGGAGGCTCTAAAATCATATTCTAAGTTACTTTATGGCTTTAAATCGTTTTTTAAAAAGTTTTCTTTAACACAACGTTAAAACTCAATAATAATGAGATCACTATTTTTCTTAAAAAATGCTTTTAATCCATCAAAACTACATATTAACATACCCGTGATCAAAGCCAAAACAGAAGTAATCGGCGGTCCAAGCGGCGTACGACACTTTTCCGGCGTCGTATTGTCTAAGATAATCTTCATCAACTTATCGTCCAAACAAATCCTTCGTCGATTGACCGGTGCTAACAATAAAATGTTCCAAAGAACGGCGAATGCCGCCGTGAACGCGCGATCATATTCTTCTGAATTTATCGACGATCCATTCGAAGACACTTATCCGAGTGAAGATGGTCGATTCAAAGGATGTTATTTTTTATTGTTCACTCTCAAAATGGGATCTATTATCACATTGATTCGATCTGATAGAACTCGTATACTTGTCTAAGATGGACGTTGTTGTAAATGAGGGTAATAGGTCATGTTAATGAGGACGTATTTCTTGTTACTATAGAAAAAAGAAAAGTAAAATTTTTCTAAAAGATCCAACATATAAGATTAGAAAAAACTCAAAATATTATAATTAGTATGCTTACATTATCAAAAGCACATTATTGGACGAAGTTTAATATTATTAATCTGGAATCGTCCTTCTCGTCGATCGAATGCTAATTAAAAGGAAATTGCGCTTTCAATTAACTCGCGGATCTCAAGCGCTTGACGATAAATGAACCTAGCTGAGATGAATTCAAGCTGTCATTACATAACAATATAATGCATTCTACGAAGCAAAAGATTGCTTGGCATCAGTTTAGGTAACAAGGATTTCGAGTCATTCTTTGAGGCTTGTTGAGACAATACGACTTTTTATATTAGCTATTTTTGTGTTAAAAATGAATTTTTCATACAAAATGTATCCTGGTGTAGGTATTCTTTAATAATTTACTTATAATATAAAACTTACTTCTTATATTGTTAAAGCAAGTTTAAACTATCAAACACTTCAAGAACGCTCAGATTATATTTATTTTTTAGTTTTAAAATAAGTTAAAAATAGCTTTTTTAAAATAATTGTTAACTTATAGTTCTGGCCACGTATAGTAGACTATTTGGCACAGGAAGATGTTTGTAGTCTCGCCCAGATCAACAAATACTTTTACAAACTCATCAACATGGACTTTCAAAGCTTGTGCTACAGAAATTTGATTTTTCGATTGAAAGACGAAACGTGGGCTACAGCGTTCTCAAAGTAAGTACTGTAGAGTGAACACTATTATAGATAAATACATTGCCTCGTACGAAAGTCAATCCATATTTTAGTGCAGGTTTCATACTATAGTATTTCAGTGCACAATACCGCAAAATGAGTCGTATCATATGGCGTAAAGATGAAGCTAAACTCTCGAAAACTCATTTTTCTGCCCTCATACTGGTACAATGGCAGTAGTGTTGAAATACAAACAAGTCATGTTGACCAACCTCGACTTTGGAAAGAAAGTTTTTGAGCTTTTGAACTTCAGAGGTCATAAGGGATACTTACTGAATGTGCAGCTCATAAACAAGTCAACCAAACTGATAGTGGACATGAAGAACACGTATGTTGTGTACGACTTGGTCAAGAAAAGGGTAGTGAAAGTCTACTCTGCTCGACCGGAAGAACGCTACAGTACTTTTACACTGTACTACGGTAATGGTGTACTTGTAGACGTGTACAATCAACGAGAATACCCAGTTTTTCCAATAAAAGTGCCAAAAATGCCAAAAATTTACAATGTAGATGCGTTTGGCTATCGGAAATACGTTGGTTTTGTCAATGTGCACGGACACTTTATACTTATACACACTGATACTGGAAGAATGCAGTTTATGTTTTCAGTTGACGTTGTGTATTTCGATCAATGTGGTGTAATGGCTGAAAAATTTGAATTTGAACGCAGGGAAATTTGCATTATGGATGACTTGGGTTTTGTCAGAAACACAAGTAAGTTACGATATTCAAAACAGTGCGTGTAACACAATTCCAAATTTGCCAAATTGTCTCAAAACTTAAATACAGTAGCCCCTCTATATAACGCAACCTGCATAACAAACAACTTTTCAATCCCTATCTACCACTACACAGTGCATTTAAAACTCCTGTATAGCGAAACCTCTTCATAACGAACAAATTTTGAACCTCCTAGCGATTTGTTATACAGAGGTTTTTGCTGTATGTGCTGCAATGAAACTTGAAAGTTTAAATTTTTTATTTTTGAAAATTTTTATATTCAGATTTCTTCAAAGTTCTTGTCTATGAAATCAACACGGAACGTTGTATTTTGGATGTGCCTGCACGAAAAACAAGTTTTGCGACGAATTGTGGAGTTGACGGTCTACACTTCACAAACAAAGATGGACATGGTAACGTAAGTTTTTAAAATACCTTATCTTACCCTACCCTACCCCACTCTATCCTATCTACTCATGTTCGTCTTTCCAATTTCGATACCTTAATATATACCTTTTTTTCAGTTTTTCGGGTACAATCCAAACAAAAAGCAATATGAAAACATCGGCTTTCTCGATTATTGGTTTCTGCCTTGCCCAGATTGTGAAAAAATTTCTCTTTTCCCCATGATTAATATATTTTACAAAACAAACGGTGATCGCGATAAGAAGGAGTTCATGATGGTGGACTGGTCTACAGGTAAGAGGATTTTACAATTTGTTTTATTGAAGTCACGTCTTGTCATTAAAACTAATAAAATTAGATTGTTCAAATAATTCTGTGCTCCTAACCTCTAAAATACTTGCTTTGAAAGGGGGCACAAGATTATTTGAACAACCTACTATAATATCAGGTTGGATTTAGAAAGTAATCAAATTAGGTTGGCAAGTAAAGAATGTCGAGTTTTACCAAATGGTTAGGGTATGGTAGGGCAGGGTTTTTTTAATCTTGATGATGCAGATGATTCTGCACAACATTATAGCTAACTACAAAGTCTGGCATTTTTTTGTGTAATTTTTAAGTTTTTTTCTTACACCGCTGACTTCGGGATTTCATCGTCAAGTTCAAGTGGTCACATGTTTCTCGAGGGTAAAGCAGGGTTGGACGCAGGGCAGGGCCCGGTAACAGGGCATTTTTGAATTATGTTTTGGCGCGCTTTTTTTAAATTTTTATGGCTAGGCCTAAAAACGCAAAAATTTCTAGAAATGGGTTTTAAACACTTTTAATCCATTTTACGTTGTTATTTTCTTGATAACTATTACAGTTTTTAAGATATGTGTTTGGCGGGAATACGAAATTCAAAAAACGCTTGTTGAAATGTTCTACCCTGCGTCCAACCCTGGGGTAAAGCCAACAGTTTTAAAACGCTGACACTAGACCTTACTTTATCCTACCTTGCCTGCCTTATCCTAACATACCCCACGCTACCTTGCCCTGCCCTACTAGTGTACCCCCACCCCTATATCAGCTCCCTAGACCCTAAAATGAGTACTCTTGACTAGACATGAGGAACGAACCGGGCCTGAGCGTTAGACTTGGCCCGATCAAAATTTTGCTCAGGTCCGGCACGAATTTTTTACGTGCAAACGCGCCGGTCCTTGATTTTTAGTTTGATTTTCAAGTCTAACCCGACCAAAATTTGGGTAAAGGACGGCCCGGCCCGTTCCTAGACATGAGGAACGGATTGGGTCTGACCCAAATTTAGGTCGGGCCAAGCTTGCCTCATGTCTAACTTTTGGTTAGAGTTCCTACGGGCTCGAGAGCGAGCCGGCCCCTATTTTGGCGGACCGGTCCGGCTCATAGCGCCCAAATAAATAATTTTTTAAAAAATTATATTTCGGCCCTGTTTGGACCATTTACTGTTTTTAAACCATTTCTAAAAAGTTTTTTTTTTTTTTGACTAAAAGAGATCCTGTTAAATAGGGCCTATTTTTCATATATCAGGCCGGGCCTAGATTTCAGGCCCGGCCCGTTTTCGATTTTGCTCAGGCCCGGCCCGGCCCGAAGGTAGGGCCCGGCCCGTTGCTCATGTCTACTTTTACATTATTTTTTTAATTTAAAATTTTGATTATTTGTTGTAAACTTTAAAGTCACGATGACGCATTTTCTGAACAGATTTGAACTTTTATAAAATCAGTCGTCTTTTTGGGGTTTTAAAACCTTATCATTATCTTTTATATTTTTAAAAATATAGCTTAAATTACCTTTTTTTTTTTAAATATTTTTAGTTTTGCGTATCTGTCAATTTTAAAATGTCACAATGACACATTTTCGAAACAAATTATTTTGTTAATTTATATCATTTACAGGGCTGAATAGCGGTCGTCAAACTTGTAAATTTTTGTATAGAATGTCGTATGGTAACAAGGGTCCCATATCTCCAAGCGAATGCTCGGACATGATTCGCCGCGCGGTGAAGATCGGGATGATGGGTAACAAACTTTCCAGCGAGTTTCCTCGAGAGTGGCTCAACAGAGTAAGTTGATCTTGGTCTTAAAAGATGCACTAGACTTTAATCTATTATAATATTACCGCTTTTTTACTTTTGAGAATGTTTACTTTGAGAAAAATCAAATTATATTGACTTAGCATATCTAATCTAACCTTGTTTTAGATCTGTGCTCATGTAGCGGTCTTGTTAATGAAAGAGGGAAATGTTGTGAACTTGAAAGTGTCGAGCAGGCCCCGATATGTGTATACTGAATTGCACGGTGATCTACGGCAGTTTTTGTTGTGGATCAACGATATTTTGGACGGAGAGGCTGATCTACTGTTCTTGGGTAAGGATTTCTTTTTTTCTTTTGAATTTTAGGTATAAAATCAGGTTCATTGGTTGGAAAAAGGTAGTTAAAAGATATCCGCATGTTTTCTGAAGGTTTTTGTCTAAAAATTTTGAGGTAAAACCTTTGAAATTCAACTTTATTCCATTTTTTAAGCCATTGATCAAGTGTATGGTATCTTTTACTCAATTTGACTTAAATGCTTTTTATTATTTTACGAAATCTTATAATTTCACTTTAGGAGACTACGTAGACCGTGGAGAAAACGCCATTGAAATCCTGGTAATCTTATTCTTGTTGAAAATAGCCTTCCCCGATCAAATTCACCTTCTTCGTGGAAATCACGAAACACCGGATCTTGGAAATCAATTTGGACAAGATGTAGGTTTTTTTCTTATATTTATTTTGCTTTTAGTGTCATATTCAATTTGGCAAGGACTTTGATGGACTTTTCAACTGCGTTTTTGATCGAATGCCGTTGGTGGCTTTGTTGGATGGTGAAGGTTGTTTCGAAGGAGGTAAGTGGGGAAGTTTAAGTTGATTAACTGATGATTTTGGTGTTGTTAGAAAGCTAATAGACTAAGGAAAGTTTTTCTATAAGAATATAAGAATTTGGGTAGTCTAGACGTGTTTTTTGGTTGGAAAGTAAAATTATATTATGATAGGTCATAAAAGTATGTTTTTAAGACAAAACTCATTGAATTTAGGTTTTTTCTAGAAAGTGTGTACCGCTTTATAGTATTATTAGAAAGCCAGTTTTCTTGTGAACATTTTGACATATAGCATGTCATATAGAGATTGTCATATTGTGTCAAAAATTTAAATTTTCTTTTACAATGTATAACGAAAAATATTGTTTTAGAGAAGATTTACTGTGCTTACGCCGGAATCTCACCGTGTTTCGAAGTTTGTCCAGAACGACTTCAAATGGTCTTGGGGGTTTTTGTAGGCTTAATTTTTAATTTTTTTAAATTTGAAATTTTTCGAAATTTTGAATTTTTTTTAAATTTTAACTTTTGAAATTTGAAATTTTTATATTTTCAGCTTTGATGTTAACTATGGCGTCTCTGCTCGAGGAGTTGGCATCGCATTTAAAGCCGAAGGCGCAAAACGCGCCCTAGCCGCCCTCGGCTGCAATCGAATGATCCGCGGCCACACCCAGCCACCAGGCCAAGGCTACAGAGACTGTTTCCAGGAAAGGCACCTCTGCCTCAACATCCACTCCTCATCGTTGGGTCGTAAAGGCCCCTTCAGCAAACCAGCCACCTCATCCATGGCCAGAGTCGCGGTTTCGACGGAAAACGGCCGAACTAACCTCAAAATCACGATAAAAACTTCAATTCATCAGCCAGAGGAACATGAACAAGCTACTGCCATTTTGTGGAATGGGTTGATGGTATTTTACGAGAATCTGAAGGAAAAGATACCTGAAGTGCCCGGGAAGATTGATCCGATCGCTTTCTATTTGGTACCAATGGAAACGGCCAGACGCAATTATATTGACATGGACAGGACCATTTCACATCGGCAGTTGGTCAGGATGTTTGAGGTGGGTTTGGTTTGGAGGAAGGGTGGCTGGTTAAGGGAGGATGGTTTTTTGGTATGGGAGGGGTGATTTTTGGACAGATTTTACGTTTTGGGAAAAAATGGGAGACTTTTAGGTAACAAATTTGAATTTTCGTCAATTTTAGGTAACAAAATAGGGGTTTTGGCTTGTTTTAGGTAATAAAATTGATTTTTTGACAATTTTAGGTAACAAACAGAATTTTAGGTTTGTTTTAGATAATGGTGACATTTCTAATTGTAGGATGCTCCAAAATCGAAGAGAATTTCTTTATCAAAAGAGAACCAAGCCATGAGGGCGGTTTGGATCATGAGAGGCCTTCTCAATATCTACCAGAACCTGCCCAAAATCGACCTCAGCTTCGTCAACGGATCGCCGGAAGACTTTGATTACTACGTCAGACTCTTGAGACTTCTCCAAGCTGACTACAACATTCCGGTCGATAACGTGATGGTTATTAGGTAGGGTTTAGCAGGTTTTAGGGGTAAAATGGGAAAGGTTTAGGTAATAAAATGGAGTTTTTGGCTTATCTTTCTTAATAAACATTGAATTTCTGTTCTTTTTATGTAACAAAATAGTTTTTTGGCTTATTTTAGGTAATAAAAAGTTTATTTTTATGGTTTTTAGGTAACAAAATAGAGTTTCAGGTAATAAAAGTTGAAGTTTTTTGGTTTTAAATAGGGCTTTTGTTTTATTTTAGGTAACAAAATCGAATTTTTAAACCATATTGTTTTATAAAATGTCATGTTTTGGTAGATTTTGAAGAAGGAAGCTTATTTTTTGTAAATTTTAGGTAACAAAATTGAATTTTTTTAATATGATTTTGGCTATAAAATGGTTTTTTTACTAATTTTAGATATTAAAGTTACTTTTTTTCGTTATTTATGTGCGGTAAAATAGCATTTTTCTTTGATTTTATGTAATAAAATTGAAATTTTAGTCGATTTAAGAGACGTAAATAGCATTTTTGGTCGATTTTGGATAGTAAAATACATTTTTAGCCGATTGTAAAGAAGAAAATTTATTTTTTTGTAAATTTTAGGTAATATTTTTAACAATTTTTGTTTGCAGAGACCTGACCGTAAAGAACAACGCCCTCCGTGAAAGCCCAGAAGCCCTGAGGAAGTTTTTGGAAGAAACTAGACTAAAGAAGAAGTCTAGTCGTCGCAAACGCAGCTGTTCTACTATCTCGTCTTGAATGCCTTACTGTGAGCTCTAACTAACTATTTTTAAACTAACACTTGAAACCTTGTATAAATACGGGTCGATTCTTGTACTGTCGTGCTGTATATTCTAATAATAAATTGAATTTTTTGGATTTGGAGATTTTTTGGGAAGAAATTTTAGTTTTTTAATTTTGGAACCATAAAATCAAAAGGCTTTAAAATAAAAAAATTTTTTTAGGAAAACTCTTACTTTTTTACCACCAAAAGATGTAGAATCCTATTTTCTACCATTTCTGAAAATTTCATAAAATTCTATCGACCCAAACTCGAGTTATAACGACTTATCTACCCCGCCGTATGGACCCCCTGCCGTCTCTCCGTTCCCTTTCTCTCTCGCGCATTTGTTTTCTCTTCTTTCGCACTATCTCCTCTTTCGCCGATTCCTATGATCGAGCTGCTCTCTAACCGCTCTCTACTTTTTACGCGCTCTCTCTTTCTCTTTCCGATTTTTTCGTCTGATCAAATCACTGTCTAATTAAAAATTTGTCTTTCAAATAGTTGTACTATCTAATTTTTGTCTGATCGAGAGTTCTCTGTCACTCTCTTCATTTTACACAATGGGTTCCTTCAAAATTTCCTTTTTCGGGTTCCACCCGCTTTTTACATTCACTTTTCTTTCTCTGACTCGGCCGTCTCTCACTTTTATAAAGTCTTTTTTCCGAATCGCGTGAAAAAGGCCAAAAATGGCTCAATACTTAATGAACAAAATCGTCAAAAAATCGCTGAAAAACGGTTGAAATTTGTCGAAAAATGGTCAAATTTTTGCAGTTTTTGGCTCCATAAGCACCGTTAATGGCCGAATTCAATCTTGGTTCATATACCATAGTAAAGCTCGGTATTTTGTGCATTTTTTAAACTATTCGAAGTGTTTTAGATACCACGGTAACACAGAGATACGACGCTTCAAAAACACAACAGTCAGGCGGTCACGACTTTACAGGTACTTTTCGACCGGTCGATGATGATGAAAATGCAAAAATACAACAATAATATCGTATTTCATGGTATTCTCCAGACAGCACTTCCAGGAATTTTTAAAATTTTAAGTTTAACATGCTAAAATACTATAGTAAAGTTTATATGTATATCTTTGATCGTGCATATTTCAAAGTGTCATAACTTACAATTAGTTCACAGCAGCGACTCCTCATAGCGCAACATACTGAAATGTAGAGAAAGAACTACAGTATCATAATATAGAAAGTATATTTCTTAGCTTCTCAAGATACGATAGTTATGACGTGGTAAAGATGTAATGGGTTTCAAGGTTTTTTTCGAGAAAAGCTAAGGCTGTAAATGTTAATTAAAATTTAAATGATTTTTTGTCCAAGGTCTATGAAGTTATGTTGTCCACGTCATCACAAGTTGTTCAAGTTCATCCAATATTGTGATTGATATTCGTAGTTTGGCTAAAAATTTCTATAGCTTTTCATAATGTAATGTAAGTTTTTAAATCTGTATGTAGTGTCTTTATATTGTCTGCTTTTGTGTTTTGTTGCCTTCCTTTTTCGTTTTCAATAACATTATTTTAATTTTAAAAAATTTTCAATGCTAAAATTCAAGCTTTATTCTCATTTTCGTATCGATACTAGTCAATATTATCACCATACAGTTTCGTATAAGGACGTGAACAGCAAAAAACTGTTAGAAAACGTCGTTTTTGATAATTTTTATATGTAAAAAAAGTTTCTTCGACTAATGCTTTATACGTAAAATGACGTTTTTCGACTAATATTCATATTCGACTAATATTAATACCTAAATTCAAATTTTATATCAATTTCTATCTAAAAAAGGCAGTTTTACATAAACTTTCTAATAAAAAAAGATGTTTCGTACTAACTACAACATCTCTAGTTGCTTATATGTAGTTGATATCGTTAGAAAATGAAGGGGAAATCGATGAACAATTAAGTCTACTATTATAATACTTTGGCACTTTTTTACTACATTTTACATGTTTTGTTACCTAAATTCTTGAAAACAACTTGTTTTTGGCCTAATAGTAGCTTCTTAACCTAGCTACTACATCTTAGCCTAATAGTTACGTTTTCTTGGCCTAGCTAATTTTTCTTGGCCTAGTTAATTGTTCTTGGCTTAGTGAATACTTCTTGGCCTAGCTACTTCTCCTTAGCTTATTACTTACCTCTTGGCCTACTAGTTACTACATCTTAGCCTAATAGTTACGTTTTCTTGGCCTAGCTAATTTTTCTTGGCGGAGTTAATCCTTCTTAATCTAGCCAATTTTTCTTTGCCTAGTTAATTCTTAGTGGCCCAGTTACTTTACCTTATCAAATCTACTTCTTTACTGACCTATACCTTGACATTTACCTATAAAGACAACTTCATTACTGCCCTATAGCTGCCTAAAACAATGTCCAAAAATGAAAAAAGAGGAGTTTAAGAAGATATTGTCAAAATCTTTGAAAACTTTTTCAATTTGACTGAAGTTGACGGTCATTTTAGGTATGTTTTTGCCATTGAAGAGTAAGCTATAACATTTTTAGTGTACTTTTAATGATAAAAATTAAGTTTTTTCTATTATGTTGTTCATTAAATTCTGAGCCTTCTCAAAGAAAGTTTTCAGGGGGCACAGTATTATTTGAACAAAAAATTTACAACTTTAAAACTTTCAGAGCCACTCCACCCCACCACGGCGGAGCCTTCAACCCCATCCGCATGTTCGGCGGCCAAGCCATGGGTCAAACCTATTTGGCCGCAACTAAAATACGACCCGACTTCTTGCCATTACGAATGGATTTCACTTTTTTGAGGCCGGGTACAACCAAAGATGACATTGATTATATGGCTACTAGTTCCGCTTTGGGTCGTACTATTTAGCATTGGAGAGTAGGCAGGGGGAGAAGGTGCTGAATACCGCCAAATTTAGGGTTAGTTTTTTGGGGGGAGGGCGGAAGAGGAGGTGAGGGCAGGGGCATAAGTTGGTGTAATATTATAGGTAAAGGTAGGGGTAAGGGCTATACTAATAGTAAGGATTGGAGTAGAGGTAGAAGTGGGAGTAGGGATAAGGGCTAGGGTAACAGTAAAGGCAAGGGAAGAAGTCAAAGTAAAAACAGGAATAAGGGTAAGGTGAAAGGTACAAAGAAAAGTAAAGGTAAAGAAAATATTGAGTTATTCAAATATTTCTGTGCCCTATAACCCCGAAAATGTGCTTGAAACGCGGAGCACAGAATTATTCGAACAACCTAATAGTAAAAGCTGGGGTAATGGTAGAAGTAGGGGTAGAAGTAAAAGTAATAATAGGGGTAAGGGCGCATGGGGAGGGTAGAAATTGTATTCTGAGAAACGGAGAGAGAGAGGAAAGTGGTGGTTACTATAATATCTTAACATCAAAATTTCAAAAATTTTTTAATAATTCAAAAACCCTTATCTCAATTTCTACCCCCCCCCCTAACTTAAAAATTGCTCTCAAATTTACCCTGCCCCAAACCAAATAACCCATATTAGCCCTTTACTCCCCACCACAGTAAAACCCTTCATATTATCCTAATCTTTCAGCTAGCCCGCCTCAAATACTTTGAAAAAGAAGCCCTTCAACCGGTCGATTTCATCGACACATCCAACCTACCCTGCCCATACCAAACCAAACCTAGTAGCCCCTTCATAGCTACCACAGTCATCGACAAATGGCTAAAACGGCATGGATTCGAAACTAGATTCGCTAATTTCAATCGAAATCGACCGACCTTGTTCGAAGGTCGATTAATTCGATTTTACGACTTTGAAAACGACCAAAAACAGTCCAGTTTAATGTGGATGAGGTTGTCTAAGATCGTTAAAGGTTAGTGTAAACAAAGTTTTTGCAAAATATAGCTTTTTTGACCAAAATTTTGAAACTTTAAAAATTTCAAAAAAAAATTTTTCAAATTCTAAACCAAAAAATCCTTTCAGACTCCCCAATACCAATAAATATGATCATCCCCCTGGTATTCTCCGACTTTATCCTTGCTTTACCCTCCAATGTTATACTAGACCAAGAGCCCAGCCAAAAGTCGCCCGTCATGTCTTCACTCGAACATCAGGTCGTATTTCATTCCAATGACTTTGATGTAAGCTCGTATGGCTCTTGTATCCGTATTTTACAATTAAAACACTTTCGTAAAATGACAACCTACTACAGGTCCAATGTGTGGTAAAATGTTGGTCCATTTGGACTGGTCTACAGGGAAGCTCAAGTTTTAAGGTCGTCACCCCCTGCCAAAAAATAATTTTTTTTTGTTTAAATAATTCTGTGCCTCCTTTCAAAACAAATTTTTGAAAGTAGTGGGCACCGAATTATTTGAACAGCCTAATATTACTATAGTTCTTAGGATAGGTATCCATATATATTCCACTTGGCCGAAGCATTTCGGATAAGTTGCCCATGGACATGCTACTCACAGCGCCAGCTATCTCAGCTGAAGGTAAAGTTGTTTTTTAGTTTGTAAAGAAAGTCTTTACCGTTTTTAGTTTTGTAAAAAAGTTCTTGTCATTTCTTAATTTGAAAAAATACTGTTTTTTTGTATAGTATTGAAATTTATGGCCATTCAAAGCTTTTTAAAATGTTTTTGCCATTTTTTCTTTCGTAAAGAAAATAACTACTATTTCGAGCTTTTTAAGGAAAGTTCTTGCCATTTTTTAATTTGTAATAGAAGTTATTGCCATTCCTTGTTATATAAAAAAGTTGTTGCCACTTTATGTTTTGTAAAGAAAGTTCTTGCTATTTGTTAATTTGTAAAGGAAGGTTTTGTAATTTACATTGACCTTTGAACACTGTGACTATTCTAACATTATTGAAATTCATTTTTAACTTTTTAGAAGCCAAAAGCGCAGGCCTAGTCTCACGAGTAGTACCAAAAGACGATGTCTAGTACGAAAATAGCTGAAGAGTGTAATATAGGCAGAAGCGTGACATCTTTAGGAAAAGCTTTCTATTATGCTCAGAAGGAGATAAAACTGCACGATGCTTACAAGTGTGTCTGGACTTTATACATAATTTTGAGTCTGGATTGACTTTTAAAATTTTGTCAAAGAGTTTTTACATGTTGGGTTGAGGAACTTAAAAAAAATGTAAAAAAATAAAAATGCCATACTTCCAACCCTAATATAAAAACGCGCTCTTCAGCATCATAACCAATATACTCAGATCCTTTCTTCAAGAAATTCTGGCCCTCGTACTTTAACGGTGAGGCCTCTCACTCTCATTTACACCCCCATTACAACGGTCGTCTGGAGATGTTGTAGTAGTCGTGGTAATGTTGGAAGAGTCTGACAATTACACGAGCATGCCTCATCTTCGCAACATTTCATTGTTCGATATTGAAGTAGAAGCGGTTTCGACCGGTGAAAAGACGTCGATTTGGTTTGGACGAAATCGTTTCGGATGAATCTAAAATAAGGTTGTTTATAGTAATTTTAGCTAAAAATATTAATACCATTTTTGTAGTTAATCATGATTCAGTTACTTAATTTAAGGCCTTTTCAACCTATTTAAAACTCATTAGACAACTCAATCGGCTTGTAAACCTCAAAGCTAGTTTTAACCAAAAATAGATAATATGTCAAGCTTAAAATACAATCTATAAACAATATTTTAATATTACCTTAAATTATTCTTCCGCAAAAATTATTTTCTACACATAATAACAAATAATTGGTCTCAAAAAGAAAACAAAAATCTGGCATTTTAAATCATTCAGAAATTTTTCCAAAAATTCAAGAAAAAGAAAAAACATTTTTGGTAAAAAAAAATCTGGTATAAAATACAGCCATATACCATGGATCGCAAAGTACCGTGTCCTTTTAATTGCGGAATGAAGTACTCGGTGTTGCACAACATGTGGAAGCATGTGAGGACTATACATAAGATGGAGGGCCAGTGGATAGACGAGTAAGTGGAGACATTAGTGTATTATTTTAATTATTTAGAAACGTGTGCCCCCTCTTCGCCAAGTCACGCAAACAACATCAAGACAGTTCCTAGGAACAACATCAAGTTCAACATCAAGTTCAACATCAAGAATACATCACCGACCAAGTGCAAGGTTCTGTAAATCCAGATGGAGATTCTGCTCAATGCAACATCAGCAACATTTTGCCAACTGTTCAAACTAGCAGCACCACCCCAGAAACAGCACATGAAGTTGTTAACACGCAGCAAGAGGCCGGCCAGCTTAAAGAAAAGGAGGCTAATGACAGCTTTGATTTTTATAAAGGCTTTTATGAAGGATTTTTTGCTGCAAAAGACGCATTTTGGTCGTGAATAAGTAAGTTTTTAAATAAAAATTTAATTTAATTTGATATGATATGTTCGTTTTATTTAAATATAGTTTCCCTAAACAATTAATTTTAACAAATTTATAATTTTTTTTCAATTTCAGAGTTATCAACACGAAGTACCTTATGCAATCGACGGATCATTCTAATCAACCTATCTACTTTACAAATGCCACAAATCTCTCTTAACCTGTTCTTTAACATTACATAAAAATACAAATTTTAATAATGTGGTCGCTATTTTTTTTTAAAAATGCTTTTAATTCATCAAAAATATGTTAACCTACCCGTGATCAAAGCCAAAACAGAAGTAATCGGCGGTCCAAGCGGCGTACAACACTTTTCCGGCGTCGTATTGTCCAAGATAATCTTCATCAACTTATCGTCCAAACAAATCCTTCGTCGATTGACCGGTGCCAACAATAAAATGATCCGAGTGAAGATGGTCGATTCAAAGGATGTTGTTTTTCATTGTTCACTCTCAAAATGGCATCTATTATCACATTGATTCGATCTGATAGAACTCGTATACTTGTCTGAGATGGACGTTGTTGTAAATGAGGGTAATAGGTCATGTTAATGAGGACGTCACACCATGGCTATAATAAAAAGATTATTAAAAATTAGTGCATTTATATAAGTCATAAAAACACTCTTTGTTCTAGTAGACAACACTTATGTAATAAAAAGATATAAAATTTTAAAAAAATTAACTCACTTTGATCAATAAAATAGATCCCTTGATGAAGCTATCAAAGCATTCCATGAATGCTATATTGTTAACCAACAGCATTTTTGCATCAAATTTACCACAAGTCAGATTTCTGATAATGTAGGCAATATATTTCCGAATAGGAACCATGGAATTTTCATCTTGAACCGGAGCTGACACTACGGCCAATTCTGCTGTGAGTTGTAGAATAACTAAAACAAGACTTTTTATTAAAAACAATTTTCTTTTAAACAATAACTTAAAAGATGTAAAGATTAGTATTCACTTCATCTTTCACATAGTTAATAACTTTAAATTAAAATATCTTTTTTTTTTGTCAAAATTGTAATGAATATTAGGCTTCCAAACAAAGAAAAAAGTCAGGGTTAAGGTCGGGTAAGGCTAAAAAGAATTTGTCAAAAAGATAATGAATATTGACAGATGCATCGTGAAAAAGAATTCCAAACAAAAATGCCCCATCTAACCATACTAAAACAGAAAGCTAACAATATAATAATAAAAAAGTTGTAAAACCTTAAAAAAGCTTATTTTCACTTCAAAACTTTCAAATCACCTAAAGCACTAAAAAAGAACACTATGAAAAACTTACAGCACTGCCTTTGAAGCGGCCTTATTAAAATGGCATCTACACACTTATTCGGTCTGACAGAACTCGTATACTTGTCTGTGAGGGACGCTGTTGTAGGTGTGGATAGTAGGTCATGTTGATGAGGACATTACACCATGGCTAAAATAACACGGTTATTAACAATTTATAGTACATTTATCAAGCGTTATACTACTCTTTGTTTTATAAATAAAAAAAAAGAAAGTACCTAAACTTCCCCTCTCAAGATCAGCTCAAAGTTTTTTCAAAAAGTAATTTTTTGATCCCGGTTTCCTTGAAATTTACTGGAAAGCGCAATTTAGTACTCTTATGAAGGTCTTATATTTATACAATTTTCCTATATCAAAAGTTTGAAAGAGACAAACATTTACCAATTCTTTTACATTTCATATTAGCTTACATAAGCTCAGTCAAAGTCTTACATACATAAAGCCTCATTAAAAATAAACCAAACTTAATAAGCAATACGAACAAAAGAATACAAAAATTGTATTTGCATAAAGACGCCGAAGTCAAATCTACTGCGTGACAACTATTACCGAATTTGGTAGTCTTTCATTGGGTCCAAAGTCTGACTTTTGTATTGATTTGCATAAATATAATCAATTCTAAGCACATCAACATTATAAAGCAGAAAAAGTAACCCTTAAGTCTAAAAGCCCGCTACATTACAATGTGAAAAATACTTGTCGTTTTTAATCGTGAAAATACATATAAATTAGCGACAAGACTTTTTTAAATCTACCATATCTCATAACTTTATAGTCGGATACCTGTTAAAACTTTTAAAAAAGAACATATTTTATGTCAAAAAGTATGGTCGTTTTCAATGCAAGACGCCAAGACTTTTCCAAAACGATATTTCTTTTCTATTGATTTTACCCTTTATTATAGTCTTTAGTTTCGTAAATACCTAAAAACAGAAAAACTAATTTTAAAAACTTACTTCAACATCAATTGTATTGTTGTTCTTTCAAAAACCACCTTTGTACCGCTCATACACGGAAGTTTGGTTTCGAAAACAAAATATCGATTAGAGATAGAGAGATGCCAACCTATTGCTTACTGTTTTTTGGTCTCACAACGAAATCCGTTTGGCATTATTAGTTAGTGGCATTATTATTTAAAAGAAATATAAAATTGAGACAAGAAGAAAAATTTTCAAGCTCAGTCAAGGTACAAAGTTGTATTTACATACATAACGCCTTGTTCAAATTTTACTGAACATTACTGAGTAAAATGTTATTTTTCAAAATAACTGATGATCTCCAATTTAAGAAGAAACATTTAAAAGTCAAAGTCAAGAATCATAATTCTATTTAATCATTTGATATGTATCTCTATGATACATTACATCTTCGATAGGCCGTAGCGGCGGATAGTGGTCATGATATAGCTTGTGTTTCCGGTAGTTCCATTGATAAGTGTTTAGGCCTTTATAGTTGATAAATACGTCTTACTCTCGTGTGTGGGCTAAGCAAGAGTGATTTTAATTTTGGAAAAAGATTTTCATTTTATCTAATTGCTTCCATCCGTTATAAGAAACGTAGTCGTGTATTATGCTTATTATTTACTGCTAAAATAATCTATTATAGTAGACAGGTTATAGTCTGATCATAAACAATTTATTCTCGCTTTTACAATTCATATTTAAAAAAGTTAAAAATGCAAGATAATTTCCAATTATGTTGTATATTTATAAAGATAGTGGGGCTTGACTTACTCTTTAAACTACCAAAGGCTTCTTGTTTTTAAAACATTAAAATTAACGATGTCAACTTTAAAACTGTAATTTCAAGATTAAAGATCTACTTTGAAGTTGTTTTTTTAGCCTTTTTTAAATGAGTTGCTAAAGGTAAAATATACTGTCCTATTTATTGCTCCTACACAAACCAGCGTGGGGATACCTTCACCTGTTTAACGAAAGAAAGTCTCTTTAAATTCAATAATCTAACTCAGTAATTTCATATTTGTGTGTATCTTCAGCAAATCACATTTGGCGAATGGCGTGTTCGTTTACTACGGTGTAAAGCCCAAAATAATGGCAATCGAGATTAGTGTAGAATCATACTTTAAAAAAGGAAAGGTGTGAGATTATTGTGTAAAAAACTATCTATATTAATATCGTCGTAGGAACCTATTTTTTTTTAAAAAACAGCTTTACAAAGCTACCATTACTTTGGACATAGTTTGGATCCTAAAGTTCAAAACAATTTTAAAAAAGTAAGGCTAACTGTATTGTTTGGCTATACTTTCCTTATCTATTAGCATCAGGTTGGCCTTATAGTAGATTCATTTTCAATGTGTGTATAAACCAACTGTTCGGATCGTTTTCCTTTTGATATGATCTTGGCTATCTAGTTACGGTAGTGCTTATTGTTATATCTAAAAGATAAATTAATATTTAAAAAATCTTTAGTGTAATTTAGGTTATGAATAAAAAATATATTTTATAGTTTAAAAACCAAATAAGACATAAATTGTAGACATTATAACTTCATGATGCAGAAAGAAGACTCAAATTGAAGACAAAATAAGTTTGCTATTGTGAATACAATATACTTCCTTTTAAGCCAAGAACTTCTATGTAGATCAGCACGGGTTTTAAATGTTTTTAGACGTGGCCTGGCAAAACTGAAAGTCTGGCTTGAAAGACAAGTTAATATGCCACAGTTTAGTGATAGTTTTAGCCCAGAAGTAGTGCAAAAAACAATAATTCTTTACCAATAAACCACCTACTATTACACCAATAAAAACCACTTTTTTTGCAAATTCGGTATTTACGAAAACCACCAGTAATAAAGACATGGAAAAAAAAAATGGAATTTTTCTAAAAGCTCCTAAATAAATATAAGATCAGAAAAAATTCAAAACATTATAAGTAGTATACGTTTACATTATCAAAAGCACATTATTGGACGAAGTTTAATATTATTGATCTGGAATCGTCCTTCTCGTCGATTGAATGCTAATTAAAAGGAAATTGCGCTTTCAATTAACTCGCGGATCTCAAGCGCTTGACGATAAATGAACCTAGCTGAGATGAATTCAAGCTGTCATTACATAACAATATAATGCATTCTACGAAGCAAAAGATTGCTTGGCATCAGTTTAGGTAACAAGGATTTCGAGTCATTCTTTGAGGCTTGTTGAGACAATACGACTTTTTATATTAGCTATTTTTGTGTTAAAAATGAATTTTTCATACAAAATGTATCCTGGTGTAGGTATTCTTTAATAATTTACTTATAATATAAAACTTACTTCTTATATTGTTAAAGCAAGTTTAAACTATCAAACACTTCAAGAACGCTCAGATTATATTTATTTTTTAGTTTTAAAATAAGTTAAAAATAGCTTTTTTAAAATAATTGTTAACTTATAGTTCTGGCCACGTATAGTAGACTATTTGGCACAGGAAGATGTTTGTAGTCTCGCCCAGATCAACAAATACTTTTACAAACTCATCAACATGGACTTTCAAAGCTTGTGCTACAGGAATTTGATTTTTCGATTGAAAGACGAAACGTGGTCTACAGCGTTCTCAAAGTAAGTACTGTACAGTGAACACTATTACAGCCTACAGTAAACACTATCATAGATAACTACATTGTTTCATAGTAAAGTCAATCCATATTTTAGTGCAGTTTTCATACTGTAATATTTCAGTGCACAATACCGCAAAATGAGTCGAATCATAAGGCGTAAAGATGAACCTAAACTCTCGAGAAACTCGTTTTTCTGCCCTCATACTGGTACAATGGCAGTAGTGTTGAAATACAAACAAGTCATGTTGACCAACCTCGACTTTGGAAAGAAAGTTTTTGAGCTTTTGAACTTCAGAGGTCATAAGGGATACTTACTGAATGTGCAGCTCATAAACAAGTCAACCAAACTGATAGTGGACATGAAGAACACGTATGTTGTGTACGACTTGGTCAAGAAAAGGGTAGTGAAAGTCTACTCTGCTCGACCGGAAGAACGCTACAGTACTTTTACACTGTACTACGGTAATGGTCTACTTGTAGACGTGTACAATCAACGAGAATACCCAGTTTTTCCAATAAAAGTGCCAAAAATTTACAATGTAGATGCGTTTGGCTATCGGAAATACGTTGGTTTTGTCAGTGTACATGGACACTTTATACTTATACACACTGATACTGGAAGACCGCAGGGCATGTTTCCAGTTGATGTTGTGTATTTCGATCAATTTGGTGTAATGGCTGAAAAATTTGAATATGGGTACAGGGAAATTTGCATTATGGATGAGTTGGGCCTTGTCAGAAACACAAGTAAGTTACGACGTATGGTAAAACGTTTGTTGTTGTACTCATGGTGTGTTTTTGCTTTAATTTTCTTCATCTATCTGATGTGAAACTTGAAAGTTTAAATTTTTTATTTTTGAAAATTTTTAAATTCAGATTTCTTCAAAGTTCTTGTCTATGAAATCAACACGGAACGTTGTATTTTGGATGTGCCTGCCCGAAAAACAAGTTTTGCGACGAATTGTGGAGTTGACGGTCTACACTTCACAAACAAAGATGGACATGGTAACGTAAGTTTTTACAAAAGCTTATTCTACCCTACCCTACCCTACCCTACCCTCCCTTTCTACCCTACTCTCGGTCGTCTTTTCAGCTTCGGTACCTTAATATATACCTTTTTTTCAGTTTTTCGGATACAATCCAAACAAAAAGCAATATGAAAACATAGGCTTTCTCGATTATTGGTTTCTGCCCTGCCCAGATTGTTCACTTGGTCCTTTTCCCATGAGTAATATATTTTACAAAGCACAAGGATTTATTGCTAAGTTCGAGTTTATGATGGTGGACTGGTCTACAGGTAAGGAATTTTGTTTTAAAACAATAATTACACATTGTTCACATAGTTTTGTGATCTTTCTGTTTGTCATCTCAAAATGGCATAAGATTTTACATCTTCATTCCAAAGCATTTTTTAGGTTGTTGAAATAATTCTGTGCCTCTGAACTTCAACAATTTTTTTCGAAAGAGGGCACAAGATTATTTGAACAACCTACTATAATATATGGAAAACAACAGACTAAAGATGAAATTTATGAAATATAACGAGACTATAAACATGATACGTATAAAATATAAGAAGAATATGAAGATGATACGTATAATATAATAGTAAAAAGAATATAAAGTTAAACCCCAAAGGTCATCTTCATTACAGGCCGCATGGTTACAAAGTTGTTCAGAACAGAAACCGACGAAAAAAAGAATCAAGAAATCACTTCGTACTACGTTCGACTCAGCAGTATTAAGCCCAACACAAGAGGGGTCACTGTTGATACGCCACGACATGTGAGACATCGATTTGAAGAGATCATAGATGAGCTATCGGCTAGTCAGCTTTGAAAATGTTTTTCAAATTTTGGTTTAATAAAGTTATTTTATATTTAGGCTTGTCATGGGTAGATAGGGGATCGGTCCAGGCATGTACATAATTATTTAGTTTTCAAGGCCGGTCCGTTTTTTATTTGCTCAAGCCGGGCTGGCCCTAGCCCGTTCTCCATGTATAGCTATGGAACGCTTCTTACAAGTAGATATGGAGAACGGGCTGGGCCGGGCCCACTTTTCAGGACCCACCAAAAATTTGCTCAGGCCCCGCCCGCTCCCATCTACTTACAGAGAAAGTACCCAACTTGCCTCGCTCAGAATCAGTTCAAGATTTTTATATGAATCTTCTGTACCACCAATAGTATTCAATTTTAGCCCGTGCTTTTGAAATTTAAATATTTGCAATTCCCGCCAATTTGGCATTGTGTCTTTTTTCAAACACGCTATGTTTATAACTTGTTTATTTAAAGGTTCTCTACTAGTATATCAAAGAAAAACGCTTAAAAATAAACTGGTGCTAGATATTTATCGACCAGTAAAAAGATCAAGAAAAGGGTCAAGCAGTATTGAACAAATATGTAAAAGTTCCCACTACACTTTAAACTACCAATAGTATTTCACTTCCCTACCTTTACTTTAAATATTTTTTTAAATTGAAAAAAATTCTAAAATCAAAGATTTTAAATTTATTTTCAAACTTAAAAATAAAAATCTAATCAATACTCCAAAATCCAACAAGGTCAATATGTACTCTTCTCTCATTACAATTGACACACTGGCTTGACGTCGTTGACGATAACCAATCCGTTCTCGCAAGATACGTTTTCACACAGATTGTCCCGATCCCAGTACTGATTCTCACGTTGAAGCGGTGGATTGGCGTGACGTCTTCTTCTGCGGCCACAATCACAACGATGTTCACACCGCTTCCCACACCAGTTCATGTCGCATTGGCAGTTGTAGGTATAGGAGACGTCACTCAACTCGAATCCGGTGCCGCGACAACGACGCCTTGATACACAAACGGCTTCGACCGCTGAAAAGTGGCATTATAATATTGTCTTACGTGTTTTTTAATGAACGTCAAGCCAAAACTAATATTAAATCAATGTGAAATCATAATAAAAACAACAAAAACACATATTTATAACCTACAATATCCAAACTGCGAGTAGACTGGGCTAAACATCAAGAAGAGCATGGCAAACATAAGCAAGAACCTCATTTTAGCTCGATAGTCGACCGAATTTGAACAATTCTTTGACCGACCAACAAAAAATTCCAAAAATTTTAAAATGAAAAAATTGAAGTTTTAAAAATAAATTTTCGAAATAAGTTGGGCACTTAAATATGAGTACAACAATATTTTGAATGAAAAGATAGGGGTGAGAAAAGGGCCAGGCCCACTTTTTAGGCCCGGCCCAGGCCCGGGGCCCAACGTCTAGGTCCGGCCCGTTTTCATTTTTCTCTCAGGCCGGCCCGGCTCGGTCAGAAAATTTCTAGGCCCGGCCCGGCCCGTTTTAAAATTTTTAAGATTTCTGAAGTTACAGTAGTTTGAAAGACGTCTTTTTTCATTTTTTGTGGGTTTTTTATGAGTATGTTACCTGAAAGGTTTATAGATTTACCTTTTTTATGTAAATTAGTTAACAGTAACTTTCTTATGCTTATTTTTAAGTTTAGGGGGATAATGTATTTTTAAAAATTGAACTTTTTGTTGGTTTTTCTTAAATTAAAGGCTCTTGGTCTATTATAAAGTGCTTGAAAATTCGGCCCGGCCCAATTTTTAGTTAATAGTAAGAATTATTTGACCGGACCGGGCCTGAGTAAAATGAAGAACGGGCCGGGCTTAAAATTCAGCTCCATGGACCTTCCAGCCCGATTCCCATGTCTGCTCACCCGACATGGCAATGGGCTAAGTCCTACAACCCTTGTCATCACTATTGTTCTCTGTACTCTTGCAACAGCCTAACAACTCTGGTTCCAATAATGGTGTCCTCTAATCTTTGGGTCATAAAACGGTTTCATGGCAATTAAATTGATGCACTCCTTTATGTAATGCCAAGCCTTTTTTGATAAAGGCTTAATTAAAGGCGTTAATTGAAGCAAAACTTGGTCGTAAAACCCGAAAAGGTAATAAAAGTTTGTAAGGACAACGCGTCTCATATTATTATAGCCATTTAATTCAATTAATGCCTCGGGGTGTTAACGCTAATCTTGAGGGTGTTGAAAGCTGGGCGGGGTACTGTAGTTTTGTAATTTTGAAAAAAATTTTGGCTTTCGTATGGGGATAAAAGAAATTTTTATTGTAAAGATGATTTATAAATTTTTTGGTCAAAATGTACATAGAACTGAAGGTTAAAATAAAATTTCATGTTTTTAAAGTGTACTGTAACTTTTTTGATTTTTAAATTTAAAAATGTGAAAAATTTGCATTTTGGAGCCATCTTACGTTCAGCCGGTCAAAAAGTTTATAGAATTGAAGGTTAAAATGAAATGTATTCTTTTTTTAAATTTTTGGTATACTGTAACTTTTTTGATTTTGAAACCTAGAGTTTAAGGACAAGCTGAAAATTATTCGTTTTTAAGTTTTTAAGGGTACTGTAACTTATTTTTGGCTTAAAACCTTTTTAAAAATGTAAAAAATTGGATTTTAATGGCATTTTATCTTATCTTCAGGCAGTCGAAAAGTATATAGAATTGATTCTACAGATATATAAATTACAATTTTTTTGAAATTTTAAGGTATTGTATTCTTTAAAGCTAATTTTAAAGAAATCGAAAATTTAAAAATTTTTTTTCGTTTTCCGGTCGAAAAGTCTGTAGAAGCATTTTTGAATCACTATTGTAAGGAGATACACCTAAATTTGGCAATATATTGGGTTGTTCAAATAATTCTGCGCTGCCGAACCCCTAAGATTTGTTTTGATAGGGATCGCAGAATTATTTGAACAACCTACTAAATAATTTTTTACTTTGAAATATACAGTATCTTTGAATATGAGTCCTAAATCTATTTTTAATTTTAAAAGCAATGCTAATCTAAATTCAAAAATATAATTTTAGGTCCATTATGTGGCCTCCGGGTGCAATAACATCAGCCCTACTGCTGTTGTGTGTCTATCAGCTGGCAGCGCAACGACTGGCGCCATTTAGCGACGAACAAATTAGGCATCGTGAGTTGAATTGAATAAAAAATTTTTAGGTTGTTCAACTAATTCTGTGCTTCTTCTCAAAGCTAATTTTTGGAGTTAAGGGTGCAGAATTATTTGAACAATCTAATATATTGTTTTAATATTAGGTTGCTCGCATAATTCTGCGATCCTTTAACTCACAAATTTGCTTTGAGAGAGGGCGCAGAATTAAGTGAACAACCTAATAATTAAAAGTTGACTCATCCTACAGTAATCGTTGTTTAAACAAAGTTTTCAGACCAATCCCTGCTAAAACAATACAAATCTGACAAAATTAATGGATTTGCTCGGTTTCATGAGCTGCCTGAAGAGTCATCAGTGCCAAAACCTCAAAAGTTTGAAAAAGTGGCAGCTTTGGATGGCTTTGAACACTGTCCTCATGGTTACACTGGTCAACTCTGTGATATTCGTAAGTTATTGACGAGGGAGGGATGGATATTGGTCATGGATAATATAGTTTGTAGTGTTTTTTTTTTCATGGTCTTATATAATTTCCACAGCTACTGGTTTTTGGTAATTTGTTACCTATTTTACTCTAATTATCACCTATTTTTAGCCATTTGTCAGCACTCCAACCGCCTAGTTCATCACAGTGGAAGCACGCCAGGAGAACTGATCGAACTGGAATTTTTTGACCAATGTGCTGGCAGTAATATCATTCACGTTGATGATCATATCCAGCATCTGAAGATCTCGGTAACCACGGAGAGAACCGGCTTCCCCAACGCCAAGCTTTACAACGCCTACGGCCGTCAGATCCGCCCCCAATTCGAGATTCCAAACCCTCACGTCAGAGAGATCTTCTTCGAAAACATCATCGAAGAAGGTGCTGGCAAGTATGTTATTGTAGTAGAGAGTGCGGACAACGAGGACTGTACGGCCGCTGTATTCGCTGCAACCGACCTTGTCATAGATGGAGGATTCGTGGAGTCCGTGCACGATGACAACGTCCAACAATTCGCATCTGATGCTCATGAACTTCAACGCGACCCCACTGAACACATACCATCTTACCTGGCATTCGGTACCACGAACCTAGAGTACCCAGAGACATTGAATACAGTAACCTTCTACCGTAGTAACTTCTCAACCCAATACGCTCCGCTTCACGTTGGATCACGGTACAATTGTGAAGCCAACGCCTTCGTCGGACCGTACGTATGTCTGGAGCACGGTATCTACTTTGTCAAGATCCGAGGCTACGACCAAGGTGGCAACATATGGCAGAGAATGTATCAATACGCTTGTAACGTAAATCCGCACCCAGGACCAGGTCCCGGCCCAACTCCACCTCCACCACCACCCCCAGAATCCTGTGAGAACGGTGGAACGCTGGTCCACAACAACACCCACAACTACTGTTACTGTGGTCATCATTACGGTGGAAGACGATGCGAATTCAAAATCTGCGATCACGGTGGACACATCGGGCACGATGGCAACTGTGTATGCTACGGAAACTTTGGTGGCGAATTCTGTGAACATGTAACGTGCCCCAAACGTTCCGGCCGTCAATTCACATCAGACAAGACAGCTTTGAACTTTGTCGTTCGATCTCACGACGACTCGAACATTCGAGCTCAGGTCACGGCCAGTATTGATCTGATCGTGAACACGTTCGTGAGTCAAAAGAACAACGAGATCGAGGCATACACAGCTACGTTCATATTGGATGGTGAGACCAAGTTGTACTTGGAGACGGACAGAGCCGAAGAGTTTTTGAAGCAGATCAATGAGATCGAAGGACATTGGGAGAAGAGTGACAGGTGTAATGATAGTGTAAGTCTTTGGGTATGGGAGATTGTGGTGGGGAAGATATCTTTTTTTGGGGGCGGGGGGGGGGGTGGTGTTTAAAATGATTTCTGGTTAGATGGAGAGTCAAAATTACACTTTTAACGTATGGGGCGGAGTGGGGGGGGAGGAAGGGGGGAGAGGTAAAGGATGGAGAGTTCAGCGTGGGGTAAATTTCTTTAAAGGGCGGGTTGAAAATTCAAAATTTTTTTACTGTAAGAAAGAATTATTAAAAAATTGAAAAAATAATCTACCCCTCCCGGTGTTACCAAAAAAATAATTTACCCCGCCCGGTATTACCTTTTTCTTAATTTGGCGTTTTATGCACCTTAAGAAAACGAAAAAAAATACCCCGCCCAATATTATCCTTCACATACTTTACTCCTTTCCTAAATTTCAAGCTTTTCCAACTATTTTAAGTCATTTTCATATTATAACATCAAACTTATTACCTATACTTTCAGATCTTCCTAGCCATCGATGAAGCCCTAGAAATCGGAGCCGCTACCCATTACCGTAACTCCCCAATCATCGTCTTCACCGACGCCCTCCCCAACGATCCATTATCAACTCGATTCGATATTCTCCAACGTCTGAACAAGCAAAACAACCCCATTCACATCATCACCTACGGCGGTAAAGGCTACCAATGTAACCCCGACCTACAGAGTGAGAAGTACGAAGAGCTGCGGATCCTAGCACAATATAGTGGAGGCCTGGTGACCAAAGCCACCGCTCACGATGAAGAACAACAAGAAGACTCGATCGGCCGTGTCGCATTCACGTTGGCCATGGGACTGTTCCAAGAGCACTTGCTAGCCGCTAATGATCTTCTGGATTCGTGTAGATACGCTCCAAACGAACAAGTCTTCTTCGTCGATGATTCCATCGAACAGATCGTTGTAGCCTTTGTAGGACGAAATGACTACAAGATTCATGTTGTGGATACGGTGGAGGAAGAGATTCAACCATATTATCATCTAGATCAAGGAGATTTGTTCGTTAGTGTGTACAGAAAGCTGGAGTATGGAAACTACCGGTTGATTATTCAAAAACCTGAGGGAAACAGCACTAGATGTAAGTTGGGAGATTGAAAATTTAAAATTCCTTAAAAAATCAGTTTTGAATTTTAAAATTGCAAAATTTAAAAACATGTGTAAAACAAAAATTTCAGCCGAAGTCCCCTGCCATTACCGTGTCTACGCCCGCACCAAATACGAAGTCTTCACCGGAGCCGCCTTCTCAATCGAGAACGACATAGCTCTAGAACAGCCAATGTTAAACCAGGAGATGCACATCGTAGCCAGAATCAACAACGTCGAATTCCCAGACCGTGAAAACGTCTTCGCCGAAGCTCTGATCTGGCACAACGATCTACGTCAACATGACAAACGTGAAGTTCTGTACGCTTCGAATGGAATCTACCGTGACGGATGTGACTACAACCTCTACTTTGGCACATGGAAATGCACACAGCCGAACCAGTTCTTCTACATTGAGGTCTACGCTGAAGATGCTACAGGCTTGACGGTGAAGCGAACTTCAGTAGGACACTGTACAGTAAGAGATCCTCAGCCACCCGACCAGTACTGTAGAAACGGTGGTGTCAGAGTGGGCGACAAATGTCTCTGTGTACCTGGCTATCAAGGCGATCGTTGCGAGAATATTGTCTGCTACAATGGAGGCCGATCAGAAGTCACACACTGCAAATGCTACGCTCCATGGACTGGCAGACATTGTGAAGAAGCTACATGTCAGTATCAGAACCATTGGACTAACTTCAAGCCCAAAGATCAAGGACTAAGTCTCATTATTCAAGGATCGTCCGATGTGAGATCAACTCTGATCGATCTAAGCCAAATTTCACACGACATTGTCCGTGATATCAAGTACAACGACCCACAATGGATCCAACATTACAGTATATTGACGTTCACGAATGAAACAGTCAAGAAACGCCTGGATACAGATCATCCAGACGATCTTCTTCATGTTCTAGAGGATGTTCTTAAGGAATCAGAGAATGCCAAATCGGCATGTCAAGATCTGTTGATCTACGAAGCCATTATTGAAGCGTTGAGCACAAGCAGAGCCATGAAGAATGATATCGTTTATATTATTGTGTCTGGAGGCATTAAACGAAGTGCGGATATGGAAAGAAGAGCTTTCGAGCTGATTGACATGCTTGGAGCTAAAGTAAGGTTTAGTGGGCTTAAAATTGAAAAAAAATGAAACTCACAAAGCAAATATAGGATAAAAGGAATTAAAAGAAAGGATATAGAGTTCATTATTAAGGTAATGAAATCAAGAATAACATAACAAAAACAGCTAAAAAGCCTTTTTTCTTCAATAACATTGAAGTTTTGCAGCCTGCAAACTGTTCTTCGCGGTTTGCGCCTAATATATTAATGTTATTTTATGTTTCTGATAAAATTAGCTATTAGTGAACCTAAAATTATATTACAACATTATTTTAAAATTCATTTGAGTTTATTTCAGCAATTTCCAAAGCGTTTTTGCTCAATATTTCAATATTGTTTTAGGTAGATGAACATAGATGTTGTTTTGCGTGAATAACCTTAAATTTTGTAGGAAATTGGCTGTAAATTATATCTAAAAAGATACAACAGAGTTTTTATTTAGTTTTCAAACTATTTTTGACTTTTTTTGAACTAATTTCAAAGAGTTTTGGCCATTGAAACCCAATGATTAACTTAAAGTTAGACGCGCAAAAATTGTCCGAGAACTTTTGACGTTATTTTGGCAAAATTATGCATCAAATTACATATCATTAGAAAGAGCATTTTTTTCTCTATCTTTTTCAATAAAATTCCTTAAAAAATGTATCAAATTCACTCATTTCAGATCAATATAATCCAGTCGCCCATCAACAAGTGCAATATCAACTTGGAAGCGGAGGAAAGCGCCGATATTGTCCAATTGGCCCATTATTCAGGTGGAGAACACTTTTTAACCAACAGCGGAAAAGCTTTGCTAACAATTCCACTACAATATGACAATGGAATCGTCTATGATGAGGTGAGGGACGGCTGTGAAGAGGAACAGACCTTCTACTTCCCGATTGGAGGTGAAGCTCAAACTGTCAGTGTGATTACTAGCGGTGATTTGAGACGTGGATATCCAAAGATTACGGCTGTTGAAGGACAATATGTCGATGATCTTCAGATTTATGCCAGCACGGTTTCGAATCTTCATGTTATCTACAAAGGTATGCTTATGATAATATAAATTTACGTCTTTCTTGGGGAAGATAATTGTTTGATCGTTGGTATATTATTTTAGAAAAGAGTCTGAAGGATGTTTGTCTTTATTTTGACTGAAACAACTTAAAGTTATAACATTTGACACTTCAAAAACCTTGTTTTAGACTGTCCGGACGGTTGGCAAGCCTACAAACAGAACTGTTACCTCTTCGAGCTTCTTCCTCACACTTGGGATGACGCCAAGACTACCTGTATCTATCAAGGAGGTCATATTCTTCATGTTTCAAACGCCGAAATCAACAATTTAATGTCTGCGGCCACTGGCGGCCAAGAAACTTGGATTGGTCTAAACGACCAGAACAGCCATGCCTGGGGCTGGGATCAAGGAACTCATCCGGATATGCCATTAACCGAAGGATCTTACAAGAACTGGGCTTCTGGAGAACCGAAAGACGGAAATCATTGTGCTACACTGACTTCTGAAGGCTGGAAGGCTCAGAATTGTACTAAGAGCTTGCCGATTATTTGTCAGAAGCATGCTTGTAAGTGGGAGGTTGTGGGCAGATGGGGTTAGGTAGGGTATGGTAAGTTATGTGACACATGGTAATTTAAGGCAGGGTTATGTACGATAGAGTAGGATATGCTAATGTAGAGCAAAGTCAGGTAAATTTGCGAAACTTCGGGTAAGTTAAGGTACAGTAAGATAAGGTATTAAACATTAGATGCTTCTATAAGGGATTACATCATGGTGACATTCCAAAATCCACCCTTTACAATTCAGACGAACTCGGCTACAACCCAGGAGGTCAAAACACTGGTCATTTGCCCCGCGGTGTCTGGCAAGTCAAGCTTCAAACCTACAAAGACTACAACACTTGTGGGGTGAGAGTGAACGTACAATCGGCTACACAAGTCTTCCGTCAATTCACCAAGAAGGTGGACGATGATTGGGGAGATTCTTTCTTGATTCACAACAGTCGTATGTTTAAAAATGGCATTTTTAGTTGATTTTTGAGCGAAAAAAGAGAATTTTAGCTGATTTTTGGTTTAAAATGGCGATTTTAGAAAATTCATAAAATTTCTAATGAGTACTGTAACTTTTTAAAAGCAAAAATGAATTTTCAGAACACAACAAGATCATAGCTCATTTGGAGTCTTCAATTCATGGTGAACGAGGTGAGTCCAAACTGGAATATGCTCACCTATACCCATCTGTTACCGCCAATCTTGGCGATGTTGTTGTAGGTTTTTGTATATTGTTATAGGTTTTTGTATATTGTTGTGGGTTTTTGTATATTATTGTAGGTTTTTAGGTATTGTTGTAGATTTTTAGGTTTTGTTATACGTTTTTGTATATTGTTGTAGGTTTTGTATATTGTAGTAGGTTTTTGTGTATTATTGTAGGTTTTTGGGTAGTGTTTTAGGTGTTTGTATATTGTAGTAGGTTTTTGTATATTGTTGTAGGTTTTGTGTATTGTTGTAGGTTTTTGTATATTGTCGTAGGTTTTTGGGTGTTTTGGACCAAGTTTTAAATTTCAAGGCTTTAAACGAACTTTCTTTACAATTTTTAAAGTTTTTAGGTAACAAATTACAGAATTTTTTACTTTCAGTCTTTCAACAGACGTGAGCAATGCTCATACGAGTACGTTTCTCATGACTTCACTGCTAAATCTTATGGATATTACATTGGTTACACCGGATTTGACGCCTATGGTTACCCATTCCAACGTATCTTACCGGCCGTCGCTGAAAGTACGATTCCAAAGTGTGTAAATGGTGGTATCTTGGATAAAAGGACGGAGGAATGTGTATGCCCACCCAACTTCCGAGGCCGAGAATGCCAGATTCCGGACTGTAAGTTCGGTTATCCAGCACCGAACATGATCACATGCAGATGTTATCAAGGATACGCTGGCGACTTTTGTCAACATGGTAGGTTATGGTTTGTCTGTTGTAAGGGTAATGGTCTTACTAGAGTTGAACATCATTTTACTGTATTTTTTGGTCTAGGTTTACTGTAATTTGGTATTTTGTAGCTGTTTGCACTCGAAATGACACTGGTCATCAACCACCACCACTTCATCCAGAAGGCAAGTCGCTAGTGTTTGTACTAGATGGATCAACTTCTGGACCTAATGGAGCTGTTGTTAATAAGTAAGGCTTGATTTTATTAGTATTTTGGCTTTAAAGATGGTTTTTAAAATACTAAAAATTTAATTTTTTTATGTTACAGTATCTAAATTTTCATTTTTAGGCTTAAACTAGCTTATTCTTAGAAAATTAGGTAAAGAAAATCTGATTTCTGTATACCTAATATAACTTAATTTACATTTTGTACCCTTAAGCTACTTTTTAAAGTCTATTTTTGAATTTTACTATACCGAAACTTACATTTTTCAGCTTTACTGCTATCATAAACGAAGTATTGGACCGTCTCGGCGACATCCCAACCCAATGGTTCACGAACTATGTTGGTATCGTAGCCTACGACGAACAACATGACAGCCCATCATCAGCCATCGTATCAGAAAAGACTCGTGCCAAGTTCCTGAGTGAAATGAAGTACATCTTCTCCAAAGGCTATCAACCAAAGAACAACAAACGTGAATACCTCCATGCCCTATCCAAAGTAGTCCGACACAAAGACGTCGCCGTCGGCAGTCCAGTATACATCATTGGTAACGCTGTGGTTGGGGATCATAGAAGCAGATACGATCATGTCATGGACTTTATCTCTCAGAAACATGTCACCATTCATAGCATTATCCTCGAGGATAACAAAGTACCCGGAGGCGAGCCAACTTACTATGAACCAGCAGTCGAGACTCTAATTGGACTGACATACGTAACTGATGGCCAGTTCTATCAAGTACCAGCCTCAAAGTTTGTGGACTTGTTCTACCTTCAGTTAGGCACCAGATTCCGTGGCTACGGCCTTACTCATCAGACCTTCAGACAGTGCTCGGAGAAGTACGAATACTTCCAAACTGGTGGAGACTTCTCGCTGTTGGTCATCGATATTTTCTCTGTTCATTATGATACCAACTTTGACATCATTGATCCGGATGGAAAGACTATCGTTAGCTTTGGAATCGAGTTCTTGACCATCACTAACAGGTTCTTCACTTTGGAGGTGGGTTTTGATACCTAAAGTAATATTTTTGGTACTTAAATCTTTTAAAATTTGGGTTTTTTACCTAAATTTAGACAAACAATTGGATTTCATATCTAAAATTACGTTAAAATTACGATTTCATACCTAAATTTACCACGAAAACCCAACTTTACACCTAAAAATCATAATAAAACTTGAACTTTAAGACGAACAAGCCTGGTATCTGGACAATCCAAATCGGTCGAAGCTCTCAAACACATCCATGCGTTGTATCAGTACGTGAAGTCGCCAAATCAGCACCATCAATCGGCTTCTCAAGAGATTTGGAATCAGATCAAGGAAGACACTCGAGAAGCGCACAGTACTATCCTGAACATGGATGTAAGTTAACTTTTTTTGTTTTTATTTGAATTTTAGGGTAGTGTTGAAGGTTGTGGGTAAAGCTGAGATTGAAATTTGAGCTGTAAAGAAAGTTATGGCATAAATTTCAAAAAAATTTTTTAAAAATGGAAAAAGGCATAAATTGGATTTAAAATGTGAAAAAAGAAGTTGTCACAATAATATAGTGTTTTAAAATGGTATAAAATGTCATTTTTTACAATTTTTAAAATATTTTTTATTTTTTCTTACCTATTTTTTCAATTATAAACACGATAAAATGATAAAATAACTCCAATTTCATTCGTGCAGCTTTGTCCGAGTGGTTAAGGAGTCAGACTCGAAATCTGATGGGCTTTGCCCGCGCAGGTTCGAATCCTGCAGGTTGCGAATTACTTTTTGCGGTTTTTTCTTGAACAAACCTATAAATCAGTGTTGTAAATCGACGTAAACTTATCGTAAAACTAATTTTTACTTATTTTAATCCTTTAGTGAACGCAATTTTGGCCAATTCTGAGGATTATCTGACCTACGCTCAGGTTTACTCCCATGATGAACATACTTTGGTGTTTTCATCGCCATTGATCAGAAGAATTGATTGTAACTGGAATTACATTAGTACTGAGTAAGCTTTTTTACTTGTCTTTGATAGTTGATATGAAGTTTTGAGTTTTACGGTGTTTAATTCGACTATTTTAGGCCGTTCCGCTGTCCGTCATTGTCCTTTACTGTAGCTGTAGAAGCATACGATAAGAATGGTCACCCTTACAGAAGAACATACAAGACTCATTGTGTTGGATTTGAAGGTACTATCTTTGTTTTTTTTAAATTTGTGGTGTTTTCTTTGAAGTACATACTTGATATTGTTTTAGCTCCAAACCAGCTGGCAATTCCATCAATTTTCAATCAAACTGACGTCGCTGTACCAAAACTAGCTGAAATACCGTTTAGTCATTGATTCTAGATGATAAGAACTTTTTACGTTGTTTGTTTTATATTTATCTTAATAAATAATGCTTTTTAAATCATGTTTTAGCTAACTTTTGGTGGGGAGAGTTAATAAAACTTTAAAATATTGTTTGATGGGACGAAAGAATTCGTAAGGTTTGTATTTTAATGTCTTTTTAAAAGTTACTTTTTATTCTTAAAACCCTTAATTTACAAAACATTGTTCAAAAGTCCCGCTAACTTCGTGAAAAGCATATTTTCTTGGCATTCCGTCGCAAAAGAAAAATAATTCTAAAAATTTGAAGAAATTTCGACGAATTCATTCGCGAATAAAACAAGGAATCAGATGAATCATTGAATTTTCTACAAAATGGACAAAGCAAATGAAGATGCTGTATACTATGACAAGTTTGAAGACTTAAGAGACAAGTTTGACGATTTGAGAGCCTTCTCGAGGAAAATTGACCGAAAATGGAAACCATCGAGGAACTTGGCTGAAGAAAAGAGGAACAAGGTGATTGTTTGTCATGATATGAAAGGAGGATATCTTCAGGAAGATATGTAAGTGCTTCATTAGTGTTTTTGTGTTTAGGTTTATGACGAAGGTGTAAGTTGGAGCTATGTTTTGGCTTAACGTTGAGATAAATTGATGTTAGATTGGTGGTGAAGATCTTGATAGAAGAAATATCTGCTCGTCGTATTTTAAAACGATTTTGGTTTTAGAAGGTGTATAAGATCATTATCGTGCTATTTGTTTTGAAAGGCTAAGGTTTTGACTTGACTTTCTTTTCTGAAGAAAAAACAATATATTATCTTACCAACTAATGTTAGATAGTGTAATATTGTAAACTTGCTGTTATAATCAAACTGAAGGCGTAATTTGAAGTTTGTATGATGTTTAAGACGCCAAAGATTTTATAGAATGATTTAGAAGCAAAAACATGTATTAAAAGTTTAACAACAAGCAACTATGTTATCTTAACCATCAACCTTCCTCAATTTCAGGTCGTCTGAATTCGAGCTCAAAGTAAACGATCCAAATCCGTTTGTGTATGCTTTTTGGTGGTACACAGACATCTTCATATACTTTTCACATCATTTTATTACAGTTCCGACCGTTAGGTGGATTAACGAAGCTCATGATCATGATGTTCTATGTCTTGGAACGTTTATCACCGAGTTTGATGATGGAAAAGTGAAATGCGACGAGATTTTTGGATCTTTGATTAACGTTGATGAACTTGTTAGGCATTTGGTCGACTTGTGTTTGGAGTGGCACTTTGATGGGTGGTTAATTAACATTGAAAATGAGATTAAGGTAAGGGTCTTTTGATGAATATAGTAATATAAGGCATGTTTTTGTGAGTTACTGACTAGTTTTTTAGCTGTGATTTGTAAAATACGACTGAGAATTAATAGTTTGATCTAATTGGATCTAAAAGGTTTATAACTTTTGGCATTTTCAGCCAGAACACATACCAAATGTCATCTACTTCTTGGAGCAGTTAAGAAACAAGTTAAAGTCGAATATTGGCGAGCATTCACTGTTAATATGGTATGATTCCATCACCAATGAGGGCAAGTTGGCATGGCAAAACTGTTTGAACGAGAAGAACAACACTTTTGCTCAAAGATGTGATGGTTTATTCACTAATTACACTTGGAATCGACGACATTTGAAGGGTAATGTATTTTTTTAATTTTCAAAGTTTTTTGTTGGTCAAAAAGTTTGTAGATTGGTTATTTAAAGGTACGATTCAGCTGGTTTTTAGATTTTTTTTCAATTTTTGATAAACCGATATTGTAGTTGATAAAATGAGCTTAAACTGACACAAAAGCCATGTAAAACAATATTTTGGTAAATCTAAAAAAAATAAGGACAAAATTGATTCAATTTCAAAATTTTTATTGTTTTAGTCACGAAAAAGTTTGTCGAAGAGAACAAGACCCAACTATCGACTTATGACATTTATTTTGGAGTTGATGTGTTTGGCAGAGGAGCCTTCGAGGGTGGAGGGTTTAATACTTACAAGGCGGTGCAGGCTGCTAGGAATTACGAGTTTTCATCGGCCATTTTTGCGCCTGGTTGGACTAGCGAATGCTTTGGGCCGGTAGGCGACCATTTTGAAGATTTGATTTTTTAATTTTTTTGAATTTTTTGAAATTCTGAAATTTTGGTTTTTTTTAATTTTTATATTGATGTAGCTATTATGGGGGTTTTTTTAAGTTCTGGCTAGTAGGTAGTCCAAACTAGGAGAAAAATTGAAATTTCTGGCTAAAATACGAAGCAACACTAAATGTTACCGTAGATTTTTTAACTAGAGATAGTAACTAGTCTTAAACTACTGCAGCTTTTACTGTAATCGTGTTACTGTAGTTTCAAAAGCGTAGAAAATGGAATGAAATCAAAATATACAATAATAATATTGTAGATCAAACATCTTGATCGTTTGTTCCGAAATGTCTGTCAATATGTCCCGTACACCCGACCAGTCGCTTTACACGACCCTGAGGTGCGGTGCTATTTGTTCTTTATTTTCAACTTTAAAAAATTTAAAGATATTATCAAAAAATACCTAAAAATTAAAGAAAAGTAAAAAATATTACCTAAAATTAAAAAAAATCCTAAAATAATATTCAAAACAATCAAATATTCAAAAATATTGTAGGGGACTTTTTCGCTGGTCAATCACTACAAGTTATTCTCCCAAATGATTGATATTGTACATCCACATCGTGTGAAAAATGACTTTAAAACCAAAATGACATATGGGTTTCAAAATGGCAGGTTCAACCCAAATCATCGTGAAATTCAACCATTTTTACTCGAAAGCGACGATGTAAAGTTGACTGAAAATGGCATTGAAATCGGTGGTAAAAAGGACTCAAAACATGTGTGAGTTGGGCTGGTTTGGCTAAGGCATTAGGGCAGGTTTGGCTAGGAAAGTAGGACAGGTTTGGCTAGGAAAGTAGGACAGGTTTGACTAGGGAAGTGGGCCAAGTTTGGCTATATAAGCTGAGCAGGTCTGGGCTAGAGAAGTAGGGAAGGCTTTGGAGAAGTAATTCATTACAGGACTAGCCTAGTATGAGGTATAAATGACTGATACTTTCAGCATTTACCTAACTGATATCCTTAATGTCAAAGACTATCAATTGTCGACTTCTAATGACCAGCTACTGCCAAAAGCTACTACAGAAACCTATAAAGAAGGCCACAGTGACAAGTGTAAAATCACTGAAATTTACGTGGTAAAAGCTACTGATGACCCAGTTATCTTAACTGATCTTGATTTTACTGTACAGTACGATATAAAAAAGGAGTATCTAAGCTATGACATAGTGCCTTGAGGTCTTGAATTTAAGAAAAAATAAATTGTATCTTGAGGTCTTGATGTTGAGGATTGTAGGACTAACCCCTATTGATCCGAACGATTGAAATTGATATATAATCACATTTGGCTTTGTCATTTTAATCCGAGTTTTCAGTTTAAAAAATTTATAGTCGAATGGGTTCAGTCTGGTTAGTCTAAATGTCTATATTTATTTTTTATTAAGTTATGTATGTGTTTGAGCTAAAAAACGTTATTCCCAATTCAAAGATTTCTAAAGATTTTTATTGATACATCTGATTGTGATGTCTATTTTGAATACGGATAAGTTAATAGTACGGTTAGTTTGATATAAAAATATTTAAAAAAGGATATATCACGATGGAGAAAATTAAAAAAATTACGAAAACATTAGGGTGTTCAAATAATTATGTGTCCCTTCTCGAAGCATATTTTCGTGGTTAGAGGGCGCAGAATTATTTGAACAACCTAGTAGTTTTTAATTTTTGACGTTTTTTGATAATGAAAAATAGTTGCTCATCATAATATTACACTTTGCACACGATATTGGACTAAAAATGCACTTTTTATTATACTATAGGAATGAATAAGTTTATTGCAGTGAGGTTATAGAGTAAGATTTGGAGATCTAAACTTAAACTTTGATTATGTTAAGCTTATTAGTTGGTAAAATGAACATAGATGGCTGATTAAAGCTTATAAAAATAATTTTAATCAAAGCTTAAGCCTACAGCGCGCTTCAGAAGCTGCAGCGTATTCAATAAACAATATTGAAAAGTCTCTATGAGACATGGCTAATTACTTTTTGAACAATTTATGATTGGATTGTTCAAATAATTATGTGCCTCCTTACCAAAAAAAATTTTTTTGAAAGGGGCACAGAGTTAATTGAACAACTTCATATTAGGTTGTTCAAAAAGTAATGAGCTATAGTCAATTTGACTTTTATGACTTTACAAACGGTTTTATTTAAACAGTAAAAGGTATAAAACAATAAAAACAACAATAATAACAGAATAAAACATGTACAAGAACTTAAACACCAGTATCCTTGAGAGACTCGTAATATTCATCGACTTTGCGTTGATGCTGAGCGATCTCTATGCTTCTTTGCTTCATTTTCCAAATCATCCGATCAGGATTCATCATTTCCTTCAGCTTGTGCATCTTCAGTTCCATCAGTGTTGGCACTCGACTGAAGTCACGTGGGTATTCAAATTGACTTCCATAATCCGTCGGCCTTCTTTGATGACATTTTATCTTCTTGTCGTCACTTGGCGACTTTGGCATCACTGTATCTGCTCCAGCTGAGAGTCGACGTGAAGTTGATGGTGAAGAAGATTGGGATGGTGAACTTGATTGAGTTGATGAGCTTGAGGTAGAAGGAGATGAAGGCTCATTTGGCTTTGAGGCTGTTAAAAACGAAGGTACTGAAGAGTCAGAAGCTGTTGGTTTAGAAGACTTTGTTGACGAATGGTAGCAAGAGCTAGACCCCAACTTCTGTTTAGTACCCGTATCCTTGGTTGGCAAGTTACATGAAGAGCTACTAACTTTACTGGTCGATCGAAGCTCCTGAAGAGCAAAAAAAGCCTCAGAAGGGGGTGGTGCTACAACAGGCGCTTTGTTGACCTTCACCTGACTAGCCTTTGTCGCCAACATCTCAGCTTTCTTGGCCTCAAACAACTCTTTTGCTCTGGCCATGTCTTTTTCTTGTCGAGCTTCACGTTCCTCATCGGTTTCGTTTTCTGGCCGTGGTGTAGCGGTGTTCACAAACTTGATGACCCGTTGTAGGCCGCTGCCTTCATAACAGACGTAGCCTGAGACACATTCACGTGGATTGGTCTTCTTGTAAGTAGACCAGATGTCTTGGTTGAGTTTTTCCAGAAACTTGATGTCGCTCATTTTGGAGGTAGTTAGTTAAACTGAAATGATAACAATAATTTACTGATAATGAGTTTTTATAGTCAAAAGCCAGTCAACGAAATAGAAGTCGATTGTGGGCATGTAAACGCGATTTATTATACACCTTTGGGATCAAATAATACTTCAAGGTCTATATAGGTTCGGGGGCACAGAATTATTTGAAAAACTGAGTATTATTCTGTAGAACCAAGTGCAATATAAAGCAAGGTAAAATAAGGTGACCTTTTTTTTATCATTTTTATCAGCTAGTTTTTGAAATTATAGGTCTGTCTAGCATATTGCAGTCCAGACTGAATGAATAGTAGTCTGATGAGCGCGGTAAAGAAAAACAAATTAATATATAAAAATTTACTGATAAGAATCATACATATGAACTCATTTTTGAACAAAAAACGAGTAAAATTACTAGTAAGCAACTGTTTTTTGTTAGCAATAATCAGTCGGATGAATAAGATAAATTTATTAGGTTGTGCAAATAATCCTGTGCCCCCAACAGTGGAAATTTGATTTGAGAGGGGCTTAGAATTACTTGAACAACATAACACCAAAAATTAGCTTTGAGAGGGGGCTCAGAATTAATTGAACAACTTAATTTCAGACATTTTTTTTTGAAAGAGCACTGAATTATTTGAACAACAATGTCTAAATAAAGTTTGAAATTTGTAAAAGAACCTATTCAAACCTCCAAAGACTGTCTATTGTATTCGGAATTCAAAAGGAGAATCGAAAAATACGAAAGCAAAAAGGCAGTTGATCTCTCAAAGGTCATGACGCTATCGGTTTTTGGCTTTCATACACTAATGGCCACAAAAAAATGCCAAGGATTTGTAGATTTTTATCTGCATGGTTTTTTGAACTTGATCATTTATTGGAATGTTGTTCACGTTTTTCGGTTGGAGTAAGAATGCGGGACTTACAGAACTGATAGGCCGATGTAAGATGTAGGTATACAGGGTGCGCAAAAAGTTCTGTTACACGGTTTTTTAATCCTTTAGTTAAAATAGAAGACCCTTAATCTAATCAATTTTAAACACAAACTAGGACCATTTTATGTTGTGATATAGGTTAAACCGAAAGTAGCAGGACACTTTTCTGTCAACTAAAAGATGTCCCGCTACTTTTGGTCCAACCTAATAGAAGCCAATGATAATATCGTTAAAATCAAGATTTGAGGTATGATTTTCAACTAAAAACTTGGATGAAATAGATTGTTCAAATAATAATGCGCCTTCTCTAAAAAAGCGATTTTGCAAGGGTAGGAGGCGCAGCTTTATTTGAACAACCTAATACATAAAATTGAAGGCATTATGGTAAGAGACGACTATAAAATGGTTATACATGTATGGTATATTTAACCATATCTCGATGAAAATGACAGTAAAACAATGTAAAATGAAAGAAAGTGATGCAAAATGAAAAACAAAATACCTTTCCTGAATAAATCAGGAAAGGTAACATTCTCTGAAATAAAAGTTAACCTTACCCAAATAACGTTGCTATACTTTCCAAATAAAACTAAACCTCAATATAAATAGAGCAGCTGAGTTATAGGGTTAATCTTTATACGCTTCTTATGCTAAATGAAGCTGCTTGAATAAGCTAACTGAATTCAGCGCCGAGTAATAATTAGTACCTCCCATTTGCGACGGTAAGCGTTGATACGACGAGGTCAGGCCTTCTACAGGTTGTCTAGTTTTGCGTAACTGGCATCGATAAGAGGGTTCTCTGTTTAACACAGGTTAACGTGTATGTTGGCATCGATCTGAAGGGTGTAAGATGGGTTGGCGTATTTCTTGGTAGTAATTGATACAAACAGTAATCGATCGTTTTTCGTTGAAACACAAAACTTAAAATTTTTAAAAATGAATTCGAAATAGGCTACGGCTAGAAATGTAGCGGGGACGAGTTCAATTTTTTGGCTCGACCAAGGTTTTAATTTGGGCCTCGGCCTTTGAGCTTACGTGTGCCTGGTCTGTTTCAAAGTCTCTTCGTTTTGGCTCTGGTCTAGTAGGTCTTTTTTTAAACGGCCGAATTTCGTAAAACATTCACCAAATAGAAACATAGACCTAAGTACCATTACTAGCATTTTCTGTATTATTGGTACACCTACTTCTGCAAAAAACAGTACCATATTGAATTTTTTTTGTCAGTCAATTTTTTCTGATATTTTACTTGGCTGGTGCTGTCAATAGAAATAATATACAGTGGAACCTTTCTATAACGAATCGCTCGGGAATTTGAAATTTGTTCGTTATAATGAAGTTTCCTTACACAGGAGTTCCATTGTATGTATTAGTAGATAACATAGTCTAAGTGGTGAACCACTCAAATGATTTTTTTGTTTTAACAGTTAAAACTAAAAGCCTGTTGCCTATAGGAGATGTCCTATACGAAGGTCTTTTAAATATTCAATGGAAACACTTTACGTTGGGCATCTTTATTGGTCTATTTATAACACATTGAATTAACTTTATAGTGTGTATATAAGTGTTGTTTTTTTTGTATTAGTAATCTAACTTACTACACCGGAACTTTGACCGTGTTTTTTGGTCTATCTGATGAATATTTAGCTGGTTTTTGGAACAATAAGTTTATCTCTATTTTTAAAATTCCACTTTTTTTGCTTTTTATCTGCTTCTGGATACACTTTTGCGATCTCATTCTGTTTGCCATTACATTTTCACTACTTCACTCTATTTTTCGGTAAAACCTCACTTCCTCACTCCCTTTTCTATTACAATTTCACCATTTCACTCCACTTTTTGTCACATTTTTTACTTTTTCATAACAGCGTTTTCGGCTTAAGTAAACAAACAAACCGGTTTACAAGTAGAAATTATTATTCATGGGATGACAAAAAAAAATTACAGTAATAACATATATTATATTGGGCGAGATCGAATCAAACTTTGTTTTTTTTTCTTCTTGAGGAGCAGCTTGGGCGCGGTGTTGTTTTCAGCTGGTGGACACTACTCGGCGTTTGTTTTTTGAGGGGCGTTTAGGTTACATAAGACGGGGGGAAAATGGAGTTGCATGTGGCTTCGTTGAGGGATTTACAGAGCATCGAAGGATACGATGGAGGCCTGAAAATTGGGGTATATTGAGGAATGTAAAGTGGGGTTTGTTGCGTGAGGAGGTAAGGAATTGAATGTAAGGGTTTTGGTTATTTGTGGTTAGACGGATAAGATTGTAGAGCAAAATAAGAAGGCTGTAGCCTTCTAAGACTGTATCCTTCATTACGTCAAAGACTGTAGGCTTGATCCGTATGATAAAGACTATATTCAGTTGTTTTACTATGGCATCTAAGACTGTAAAATGAATTCTAAAAGCTTCTAGGGCTTGGAGCGTGGCTTGTAATGACGTATATGAGTTTATACAGTACTCTTTCTACACAAGCAACCCGAAGGGACCGACGTTTTGTGTTTAATATAAAGGGTGTTGTCTTTACAGAGAGGCTTTTTAGTGCAAATTGACTTGGCGGGGCCAAATTTCGTGTTACTATAAGGAGTGTTGCTTATACAGATGGTTCACTAAATAGAGAGACCACTGTATATGTGATCTAAGGTATATATGATCTAAGATATATAGGCTTTGAGACAACAACTAGGCTTAAAATGATCATTTTGTTTTAAAAACAGTTTAGTATTAGGTTGTTCAAATAATTCTGTGTCCCCTCTCAAAAAAAATTATTTGGGTTAGGAACACAGAATTATTTGAACAACCTAAAACTTATGAATAATAACCACAAATCGAACAAAAATTAATAAAAAAGATGATTTTTATCAATTTTAAATCAATCTCATGATTTTTATCAGTTCAAATCAACTTCAAAATTCTTATCAATTCAAAATCAAAACTCAACAAAAACCCACCTACTGACAGTAACATTTCGGTTTGAGTTCAGTCATACAGTACGTGGGCTTCAACAACAACCGTTCATTTGCGGCCGAATCTCAACACACCGGGCATGTCGCCCCGCTTGCCGAAGCGCAGAACGCCGGGCATGTCACTGCGCTTTCCGAATCTCAAAACTCCGGGCATTTCGGACTTTTTGCCGAAACGCAACACTCCCGGCATCTCCACGCCGTCGCGTTTGCCGAATCTTAACACTCCCGGCATTTCGGAGCGTTTGCCAAATCGAAGAACACCTGAAAAGGGGTTTTTTAAATTTTTGAAAAATTGAAACTTTTTTGGAAAAAAAAATAGTTTTTAGTGGTTTTTAGGCCTACATTTTACGATTTTTAGGCTTACAATAGACCTGGATGCTTGAAATAGAGCTTTAGGCTTAAGATTAAATCCATAAGCTTAAAATAGATTTTTAGGCTTACAATACACCTTTTTATGCTTAAAATGGACACTTAAGCTTAATATAGATTTTTAGGCTTAAAAATAGACCTGTAGGATTAAAATAGGCTTTTAGGCTTACACTAGATCTTATTAGGCTTAAAATACACCCTTAGGCTTAAGAAAGGACTTTAGGCTTAAAAATAGACCTATAAGTTCAAAATTGATCTTTAGGCTTAAAATAGACATATGAGCTTAAAATACATTTTTAGGCTTACATTATACCTTTTTTGGCATAAAATAGACACTTATGCTTAAAATGGATCTTTAGGCTTCAAAATAGACCTATAGGATTAAAATAGGCTTTTAGGCTTACAATAGAACTTTTTTAGGCTTGAAATAAACTTTTAGGCTTAAAACAGGCTTTTTTATGCTTAAAATAGACCTTTAGGTTAAAATCATAAAAATTATTTTTTTCAAATAAAAAATTTTTTTGTCCTTTTGCGCTCTTATATTGGGTGATATCACGCCGTGCAGACTCAATCAAGCAAATTGAGCCGTTAAATATTCATATTACTCCTTGGAGAGAGCAAAGTTACTTTACGCTTTAATAAACCCTACAACATTTCGGGGAGAATTCGCAAAAATTTGGTTAAAAATAGCGAAAAAACGCCTTCGAATTAACGCCATTTTAATGGCCGGGGTATGCAAATTTGGAAGCAAGAGACGTATTTAAACTTGACAGATTTGGAGGCCAGAGGAGTGTGTAGATTTGGCGGTGAGGGATGCGTGAGATTAGGTTCAAGCTTGGTTAAAGTTGGGTTTGAGGCGTAAATTTAGCTTTAAGGAAGTGTAAATATAGGCTTAAAGAGGCGTAAATTTAGGATATGATACTATTTGAGGAAAGAGAAAGGTTATTACGGTATTCTGAAGAGTTTGAAGCAAATGTAAACCGAAAACGGAAGAAAAAACAACATTTTTGGATTAAAAATTAAGTTTTTTCAAATTCACGCTGATATTACTATGTAAAACTTGGCTAAAATGATGCGTCAGAATCTCCAACTGCTATTAAAATTAATTTTTGGAATCTACCCTATCACTAACTTAGGTTTTGACATCAAAATTCAAGCCGAACTCACCAGGAACCGCCTTCTTTTCTTGTTCTCCATCGCTGCGTTTGCCGAACCGCAACACTCCGGGCATTTCCTTCTTGTCCATGTCGGCTCGTTTGCCAAACCTTAGCACACCTGGCATAGCTTGCTCATCTGAAGGGATAAAGATAGTTTTTTTGAATACATTTGGATAGTTATTAATGGTTTTTGAGTTGGAAAAATGCGCCATAGGCTTGTTGGAAGCATTAAAAGTGGGGCAAAAGGGGTAGTTGCAAAGATTTTGAGTTTAAAGTGCATTTTTAAATTGAAAAACGTTAGTTTATGAAAATATTTGATGTAAAAAATACTAATCTATCTTTTATAAAGCCTGTTCAGTTTAAAAATTTTAAAAAATTGGTGATAAAACCCCCAAAAAGAGCCTTGTCCCCAAGCGGGATCGAACCCGCGACTCCCAGACTAAAAGTTCGTTGCTTTACCGACTGAGCTAACCGCATGCACACTTGAATGATATAAATGGCGGGTTCTTTATGTCGGCACCAGGGCCGGGCGGGGACTTTTGGTCTGGGGGCAGGGGTCCGAAAAATCGGCACAGGAGCTACCTGTGCCGATTTTTTGCGAAAATTTTTTTCCAAAAATCCACAGGGGGACCACGTTCAAATTTTTTCGAAAATTTTTTTTCTGGGGGGGTACTCCCCCCCCCCTCCCCCGTCCCCCCCCCCTCTCGCGCCCGGCCCTGGTCGGCACCTAATAGCTTACCGCGCTTGGCTGGCCTTGAGGTCTCTGTGTCGTCACTGTAGTAATATGAACCGTATGGTGAATACTCGTCAAGTCCGGCTGGCAGATATGCCACTGATCCTGAAAAGGGCGGAAAATTTTAATTTTGATTGAAATAGAAGTTGAAATTGGTTTAAATTTGACCAATATCTAGAGTAAGGTTGGCATGACAGTACTTGAAAATTTTGAAAGGCTTTGTTCTTATACTGAACTCAAACTAAAACAAGGAAATTAACTGTCAAATCAATATGGCTAGTGTAAATACTATCAATATTGATTTGACATTGTGGGGGCGCGCAGATTGACCGTCCAGACGAAACTGTCAACCTAAACTGACAGCCGATACACAATAACGGTGACATATTGTAAGTCAAGTGTCATGTCAGGAAGTGAGGGCTGATTTCAAGATACGAAAAGTAGTACGTAAACTAGAAAAGCGTTTTCTGAGAAGTACAAAACAGTATGAAAGAGGTAAAGAACAGTACGAAATAGGTACAGTACAGTATGAAAAAGGTACGAAACATTACAAAAAAAAGTACTAAGCAGTACGAGAGAGGTACAAAGAAGTACGATGAACCTACGTTTGTCAGCACTGTGCCCGTCCTCTGCAATGAACAGCTCCTTCCAGGGCTGGCCGCGCATGTAAAGTCCGTCCACGGCGAGCGCGCTCACCACACCGACCGTGCATATTAGAAGCCATTGATTGCACATGGCTCTCCTTGTGTGTTCTCTCTTACTGTTACAACCCTAAGGCGATGGGAATTGGTGTACCCTGGAATATCTCGATTAAAAGGAAGAATTATAGTAGTTTTTACTATGTTATCATAGTGAACGTTTTGTGATATGATAATGAGGTAAAATACGGCGTGAATATTTTAGTTATCGTTTAAAATATGTGATAAAATGGGCATAGTAATCCAAAATGAAAAGATATAGTTGCTTTTTTGTAAATTAATACCAGATGCAAGAAAAAACTCGTTATAGTCAACAAGAAACTTGGCCAAGCTGTACTAGTACCAAATAATGCTTGATCAAAGACACTATTACATAACTACTAGGTTGTTCAAATAATTCTGTGTCCCTATCTTTGAGAATTTGCTTTGAGAGGGGGCTCAGAATTGTTTGTACAACCTGATAGCACAAGGACCAAGTTTGTTATAGGGCCTCAGTTCGTTATAGAGAGAGGATTCTTATGACAGATTTCATTACAGTTTTAAGCAAATATTGCTCTCATTTCTGTGTTCCTATCCCGAGTAATTTGTTTTGAGAGGGGCACAGAATTATTTGAACAACCAAGTAACTCTAAATGGAATCCCCATGGTATAGCCTACTATAATATAGAGTGTAGTACTAAAGCCTATCATTAGAACTTTTGTCTACAACAAGAATACACATAATTATGGAATGAACTTGTAAGCCTTTAAAACTGAAATCAAGGTCTTAAAAAATAATACCATGGCTATAAAAAGTAAAATCAAGGCCATACCTACTAATTTTCACTGTAAAAAACATTTTCATTTTACTTGAACCTTTGGAGATAAAACAAGGATATGAATTTATCAGACGAACAAATAAAAGATTTGTCAAAATAACCTACGCATTTCCACTCTTACAGTCATAGAAACGAATATACGAGATAAGAAAACAAAAGAGTTGAATACATGTATAGTTATGTGGAGGAAGGAAGTATAACTGTAAAGGATGGTTTCTAAATGAGGGGGTTGCAATGGTAATGGAACAATAAAAAGAGTACTGTAACTTTAAAAGATGTTATACGAATACAAATTAGAATTTCATTAGGGTAACAGCTTTATAAGGTAACTTCGGTTAAAGTCAAGATATAGTGGAACTCCTGTATAAGAAATTGCTTTTTGATTTATAGTTTTATACTATGGTTAAAGGCACGTTCGATAAAGGAAATACTAGCTATGGCAACCAAAAAGATTTTGCAAAGTACATTTAAAAATGAGGCTTTGTATTACAAAAGTAAAGTTCATAAACTTTGACCAAAGCTGCCATTTTAAGTTAACTTTGACCAAATCTGCCATTTAAACTATAAAACTTTTAAAAAAAACTAAAAACTATACAAAACGATACGAAGAAACACGCCTTGAAATGACACAAGTGTGAAATGTCACACTACAGTTGTTGGAAAAGTTTCACGCATTTTACGCTGTACTTGATTTATGTCATAGAAACGTTTATGTGGGTGTTTTGCCAACCGGACTGTTAAGGTTGTTAGACTGTAAAACAGGGTGGGGATTGGACTATTTGTGAAGATTGACTTACTGTACTACTGTGTTTCAACCGAGCTGTTATCAAGACTGCAATTTTTTTTGGGATTCGGCTATTTGTGAAGACCGGCATACTGTACTACGTACTGTATTTAGGAAAGGATAAGACTTGAGTCTAGTACTAAAAATAGCATGGTATAGAAAAGTGACGTACAAAGCTTTTTTTTTGGTTTTCAAAAGGTACAAAAGAAACGTAGCTTACAGTACACCGTGCAAAACATTACTTTAGAGCATTGTATTTGTAATACAGTATTTTGTAGGAAATCTTGGGCACAGTAGTACTAAGAGTGACAGATACTGCAGTAGCATAAGGTGCAACATGAGAAAATTGAATATCTTATATTACTGTGTAATTAACGCATAAGTTTGTTATAGTACTTACTATGTAATGCATAGGTATCTTATAGTACTGTTCATTGCATAAGTATCATAATACAACCCATGTAATGAATAATTATAGTAATAACATAAATCAAGTACGACTCAAAAAAAATGCAAAAAGTGAAATATCATATCTAACTGTCTAGTACAAAAATCACAGTAAAAGCACGCGTCGTCACTACGTCACAACAGCGTTCTATAATATACACAAAGTACTATAGATTATGCCGAAACATACTCAACAATTAATACCACCCTTTTCTGAGGACAAACAGTTTAAAAGTTGGTCATGAGGCCAAAAAAGCGAATGGCATTGTCATTAGGTTCTAAAGTGCCCAGTAATTACTTTGGTATTAGCTTACTCCTACATTATTATCTGTTTTGACATTGCTTTTGGTCTGTTATTCTACTGGACTCTGTGTCTTTGGTCTGTTACTTTACTGTACTCTGATTTTTGAGTAAGCAGGGTAAAGAACGTCATTTAAGTTGAACTATCTATTTTTATAATGGTAGTGAGATTGAACCAAAAGTAGCGGGACACTTTAAATTTATTTTTCAACTAAAGAGTGTCCCACTACTTTTGGTTCAACCTAAGAAGGGTATAGATTCTATACCCTTCACATCATCTTAAGAAGGATATAGATTAGAATTTTTTTGTAGTAGAAATGAAAATACATGTTAGGAGGTTAGAGTTTTGTAAAATACGGATTGCCAAATGATTTAAACTTTAAAAAATAAATCTTCGGAAAGCTTGCAAAAGTTTAAATTGCAGTAAAATTTATACTTTTTACCAAATCGCGAAAGCTTTTTTACTAAATATAACTAGAAAACCTATAGCGATGTTTTACAATTTATAAAAAAAACAAAAACTTTGATTCCACTCTCAATTTGAAACCGTAAAAACGATTCGATCAGGATGAGATTCGAACTCACGCGGGGAAACCCCAATGGATTAGCAGTCCATCGCCTTAACCACTCGGCCACCTGATCCTTGCATCAGGGTTTGGTTGGGCAAGTGGTTGTTGTTATAGATTATTGTATACAAAACCTTACAAATTTTATTTTATCATTTTTTGATTATTTAGAACTACAAGAAAACTTTCTTACTTAATCCAAATTTATATATAGATAGGTAAAATACGTTACTTCATTTTTTCTTAGGAAATATAACAAAAAATATTTTTTTTTGACTTTGTATACAATAATCTACAACAATAACCACCTGCCCAACTAAACCCAGAGGTAAGGATCAGGTGGCCGAGTGGTTAAGGCGATGGACTGCTAATCCATTGGGGTTTCCCCGCGTGAGTTCGAATCTCATCCTAATCGAATTGTTTTTGCGCTTTGAAATTGGGAGTGGAAACAAAGTTTATGCTGTTTTTAGTAAGGGTTAGACTTGTAAAGGATCGGGGCCTAATTTTTTGGCCGGGTCTTTTTGAAACTTGCTTTGGCTCGGCGCAAGGCTGGGTCAGGTCTAGTTAGCCCTCTTTTAGGTCTAGTAAGGATACGTTCAAAAATGATCTACGATTAGTAGAAAGTGAGTATAAAACTAAATTTAAGATATACTCTATAGTAAAGTAAAAATAGAAACGCAAGTTCAACTGACTATGCCGAACTATATGAAATACACCAAGACACAAGTATTAGACCGTGATATCATAAAAGCAAATACGTTCACAAACGAGTGTTTTTTCGCTATGAAAGGAGTTTATGACCAATAGAATGCCGTAATAACAGATTCGGCAACGTTTTAGCTAATTGTGGAACAATGGGTTAAAAATAGAAGAAAAGGTAATATTAACCTAGATGTTTGATGTGGCGTTCGGATTTCATAAGGAAATTGTGGGTAGAAAAGTTTAGGTTTGGGTACTGTTTACTGACGTGGAAAGTTATAGTATAATACTTTCAAATTTTTGATGATTATAGAGTATAAGCAAGAATGTAAGGTAAAAATGGTGGGATGGGCAATATTAACTTAGGCGTACTAATTCTTCCTATAACACAAATTTTGAACTGGTACTACCCTTTTTTTGGCACAGTTTGCGAACTAGTACTACCTCATTCTCTAGCTCAGTTTGTGAAGTGGCATACCCCTTCCCCTTGCACAAATTGTAAACGAATACTACTTTCGCCCTAGCACAAGTTCTGAATTAGTACTACTCTTTCCACTAGCGCAATATGTCAACTAATACCTTTTTTCCCTTAGCGCAGTGAGTCAATTAGTGCTATATCTCCTCATGTCACAGTTTGTGAAATGGTACTCCTACTCCCTAGCATAGTTTGTGAACTGCCAGTACCCTTTCCTCTAGCATAAGTTGCGATCTAGTAATACTCTTGTTCGTAGCACTATTTTGAATTAGCACTACCACTTTGTCTAGCATTATTTGTGAATTAATGCCAAATCTCACCAATAGCACAAGTTATGAGCTAGTACTACTTCTCTCCTTACTATTATCATAGTTTGTGAATTAGTACCATTCATTTCTCCAGCACAATGTGTAAACAATTTCTAGTCTTACCGTTTTCTTTAGCACAATTTATAAACTAGTACCAACCCTCCCCCAAGCAATTTGTCAACCAGTACCACTCCCTACCACAAGCCCATAAAATAAAATTTACAACGCGAACTAATGCGGTATGGTAACACATACTGGTTAAATGCCCGCGCCCAACAAACATATAAAATATTCGTACTGGGAGCGGAGGGAACGGTGGGCGTGGCCTGCACGCCGCCACTATTTTTTACAGTTTATTTTTCGAATCAAATTAAATAGTTGAAACGACGAAAAAAGTGAAAGTTTTATTGAAAAAAAGTGATTTGACATTGACACAGCGTTACGTAATGACACTACACGTGTATTATAACAAGGGTACTGTAGTCTGGTGGGAGGATAAATTTGGAAATAAGGTAGGGGGTACAGTAATAAAAATGTTAAGTTATGTGTATTAGTGTAATAAGGTGAAAGT